AAGTAATTGCTGCCTTTTGCAAATGGGCTCAGAAAGCAGTCATTACTGCAGAGAGCACAAACTAACAAAATATTCCATTTATGTGTGTGATGCAAACACATCAGAAGTGGATAAACACCAGTTTTTGCAACATCAGGATGATCAGGAATGTCTCTGTGGATGGAATCAAACAGAAGATTGAAGGACAGCAACAATCACTTCTAAAAGGTCGTTGCTGTCTTTCCATTTGACCCCGGTGCGCTCCTTTGGTCAGTCCAGTGTACTTAATTAACAGTATTTCGATACGACTTTTCTCAGATCCTATTTTGTGCTAAAATCCAACCGTGTGTGATCACTCATTCTAACTAAATGTGAGCGGTTTAATGGCTTACGGTCGGTTCACGGACGTAAGAAAAGATGCTGCTGAGTGTGGATTGATTTTAAAGTTGTTCAGCAACGGGAGCCGGCAAAACACAAAATGTTACAAAGTATTGTTGGTCTAGTTGCTACAGCGATTATCTAAGTACACCTGAAATAAGACAATTAGATAATTAGTAGATCCTCCTGTGCAAACAACAAGAAAACCGCAACTGGTTTCTGGATTGTAAGTCAACAACATACGCAGTTAAACCAACTGACCAGATGTGCTGGAGCTCAGTTTCGGTTGCTAGGTGACCGGCAGAGCTCAGTTTCCGTTGCTAGGTGACAGGCAGAGCTCAGCTTGGGTTGCTAGGTGATGGGCCGTGCCTGCTGATTGGTGACATTAAATTTCAGAGAGTTTTGAAACGGCTCATTTTCCTGACGCCAAAAAAAAACATTGACTTAAAAAAAACCCAGGTTTTTCTTTTAAGCACTTTTAAAAACGCCACTGCTGTTACTGCTACTGGGTCTTCACTGTTGGTAAAAGCGGCACAAACCCAAATGGAAGCACAAAAATGAGCAGATTTTACCGTTAAAACATTCCAAGAAAGACTTTGGCGCAGTTAGTATTTAGAAGCCCATGTTTTGCTGCTTATGTTTGGTAGATATTGTTGATCAGGTCACATTGTGGATCTCCATGTAGCAAACATGGCCGCCCGCAACGTCCTCATGCAGATGCGACCCATCTCACCCACAGACGGGTCTGAGCTGCCTTCACCCCCCGCTGCCTCAGGCCACGTCTGCCTCTCACACACACACACACACACACACACACACACAGACACACACACACACACACGCACACACACACGCACACGCACACACACACACACACACACCGACTGTCAAAACCCAATAGAAACGTGGGACACAACAGAGAAAAATATGTCAGCGCCTCAGGCTCTGTCTGCTATCATCCTATCAAGAAAGCTGTTGTTGTGTGAGGGGGGTAAAAAACAACAATGTCGGCTTATTGATTGTGACAGTCTGTGTGTCGACTGCAACCAAATGGGCGTTTGTGTAATCGCGTTGGAATCTGTGAGAGCGAAGACCGAATGATCCGCGGTTCTGCATTTCGACAGCATCAGTCTTAAACTCTGAGCCGTCTTGTCTAATTGAGGCTGTTTGTTTTCTGACTTTGCTGAAAACTCCTGAGACCAAAAGACAGCAGCGAACTCGTCCTTGAAGAACCGCCACTGATTCATCTTAAATTAAACAAAGCATGTTCTTGTTTTGTAGTGCCTAATTTTGATAATTAAATTAATTAGCCTTATCTGCTCCCAGCAGGATTTCCTTTTATGTGTGTACACTTATAACTGCTTACAGTTCTTTGCCTTAAATTTCTACCCTTCATCCAGCTCAACCATTTACTGAATCATTTCAGAAAATGGACTCTTGTTGAATAGACATCTTGTTTGTGTTTCTACAAATGGTAACATTTGAGGACCAGTTGTGGCTGTATTGCTTACTGGAACCAGTGAGGATGTTAAAACCAGTTGCAGTTGCTGGGTTCACTGAAGTGTAGCCCGTTTTAAGCTGAAGGGAAGTGACACAGATAAAGAAATGGTGCCGCTGGGGTGAAATACTCCCAGTTTCTTGTACCAGCAGCAAAAACAGCGTGATAAGTAAAGATTAACGATTTACACAAACAAAAGAAGGCACAAAAGAAATAAAAAAAAACACAATGATAAAATGGAAATATAATTAAAAGTGCATTGATGACATTAATACAAATAGCTTCACACCCCCACAGACAGCCTCATGCTCTAACTGTACTTTGGAAATAAACATTGGTTTTGTTTTTGTGCCTCTGCATAAAGGGGGTTCATATTTCCATTTTAATATTAAATTCTTGCATGTTGGTCTTCCATGTTGGTCTTCCATAGCAGGGTTATAATAATGAATCAGGAGAACAAAAGGACCACAAATACTGCACATAAATGATCCCTAAATCTAATGTGGGATTTACTGACTCTCCTGCTCAGCAATCAGAATAATGAATTGCTAGCATGTTACGTAGCATTAGCATTAGCAATAGCAATAGCATTAGCGTTGTGTGTATTTGTATCAGTGCAATGACAAGTCTCATCCAGAAGCAGCTATTTCACTTTTTTGTTTCTCATCTTGTTTATTTTGTGATAATAAATTAATTACTCATATTTTCTACGCCTCACTGAAAAACCGCCTGCTAGTTTCCACAGGAAACGTACAAACCACAGGTTTTTCCATATATGGGAGGGTTGGAGCGACGGCTTCACGTCGCTGCTTCATTCCACTTTTCAGATAATCACACATAATTAAAACACCTGGAGAAAATTATAAAATGTCTTTAAAAAGAATCAGTTAAAGAATCAGCTTTTGTTTGGAGATTTTCCATGATATAAATAACCACAATATTACAAATGAGTTCACGTTTTCCCCACACATAAGCTTTAATTTGTTAGTCTGCTCAGCCAAACGCATGATTTTTAAAAAAGTAGCAGAATCTAATTTGATGAAAGAGGAAATAATTATGAGGTTTAAATAAAACAACCCACTTCAATGAGTTTGCACTGCTCTTCATCAAATACTTTTATTTTTTCCTCCACTTCCCCTTTAAGGGCCTCAGCTTCACATTCAGTCAAATTGAGCTTCATAGCAACACTTTTAATCATGTATCTATTGTTATTTCAGTAATTTTATATAATCACAGGAAAAGATGGACCGAATAAGTTTAGCTGACTGTGTTTTATGCTTTTTCCTCTGAATAATGAATGAATAAAGTTATAATTAATATAAATTATTAGCATCTGCCACTAAGGACCCAGAAGTCTGACCAAAGAAACTCTAAACAGAGATTATAAGTCATCTTCTTAACACATAAACCCAAATGTTATCTGGTTTATTCTGAAACTGATTGTAATTCCTGCTGATTAAGTATTTATGAGACTTTGACTGCCTGGAGTTTTAAAAAAGAATGATGCTGGTTCAAGATTCGATTCACTAAAGGCCCCATAAATCACACAGACTCTAGTAAATACATGCACTTTGAGGCTTTTAGCCCCGCAGTCGATGCTGATGTTTTCCTGAAAGCCTCAGAAGAACATGAGATGGAAACTTGACACCGAGTCGGTGAAATCTGTGAAAAACATTCACACTAGTGGATCTGTTCTCTAAGGCCTGAGTTTTAAAGGGGATATAATATGCAAAATTCACATTTTTCACATTTTTATACTTCCACTTTGGTCTCAACCCAGCAGATTAAAACACACACACACCACTGTTTTCTGGCAATAAGTTCATGTTTATTAGTGTCTATAAAATGAGTCACATTTGACTGGAGCTACACTGTTACCTAGCAACACCAGTTGAGCTCTTGCATGTTTGGTCACTTTGTTTTATCGCTATATGAGCTGCACAATGGCAGCTGGAAAAGACAAGTGTTTTTTTCTTTTTTGTTGGTTTAACATCCAGAAACCACTTGCTGCGTTCTTGTTGGCTGTGCAGGAGGCTCTACTTCTGCTTTTCAAAGATGCACAGTTGCATAATTTTACATCTGTTTGCAAGTATTTTCACATGCGAGTGTAAACATTGAGTTGAAGGGGTGTGTGTGTGTTTAATCCTAAAACAGCTCATTCTGAAAGAAGCTCAAAATAGGCAAAACTGAGAATAACTTTACACCAAAAATCTAAAGAAAATCTAGACGCTCCGCTCCATCCGGCAGCTGTTTATTTCGTTTGGACCATTCACTTTTATGAAGACGTGAGAGGATTTGTTCTGCTTGAGAGGGATTTAGCTCCGTCTATTGGTATTAAAAATAAACCTCTCCTGGTGTCGCCTGCACATTGTTGCAGTTCGCCTGAGGCTCGCTATCGTTCCGCTGATAACGGCTTGTTGACGAGCGCGCAGTGTCGAGAGGAGAGCGCTGATTGTTAGTAACGTTAACCCCGACCCAGACGACGGCGGAGTCGGCCTGCAGCTGCAGGACCAGTTAGACCGGATCACAGAGACGGGATTCCTAGATGACTTCCAGCAGGTCTATCACCACCCGTTTATGTGTTTCAGTGGTTCGCGATGGAGACCTAAGGTGCTTAAATGATGGGAGATTAAGCCTCACCCTTGGCCTGAAAAGCCTTGGCTTGACCCCATGTTCTGTGGGTCCAAAGAGATTATTACTCACTGATAGTTAAATCCATTTATATATGGACTCTATGCAGTGTGAAGGGGCAAGATCCCCACTGGAGGGCAAAAAGCTGCTCATTTCTGTGTTATGTCACTTATAACAAGACATTTGACCCGTTTTATAAATGTGGATCTTCTTCATCAACACTAAGGAATTATGGGGCTTCACAGTGATGTTGGTAGGACTGTTGGTCCCGGGTTCTCCGGCTTCCTCCCATAGTCCAAAAACATGACTGTCAGGTTAATTGGTCTCTCTAAATTCTCCCTGAGTGTGTGTGTGTGTGTGTGTGTGTGTGTGTGTGTGTGTGTGTGTGTGTGTGTGTGTGTGGGGTGTGTGTGTGTGTGTGTGTGTGTCCTGGGTGACCCGCCTCTCACTGGAGATGCACCAGCAGTGCACTAGTTTTACATGTGGCCCTAATTATGTCTGTTTTGTGTTGCAGGTGTCCAGAAGGCCCGCGCCCAAGCACGATGCGACCGTGTCAGCTGCCTTGCAAGAAGGACTGCATCGTGACTCCTTTCAGCGACTGGACTCAGTGTTCGGTTTCCTGCGATTCAAGTACACAAATGAATGCAAACTCAATACAATCCTGCCTCATACGTTCTGACTTTTTAAAGATGTCAGTCAGGTTTAAGTGGCAGCTGCGTGGTTTGAGCCTCAGACCTGAACCTGAGCCTCAGACGTCCGCTGCCTCGCTCACGTCTCGTTAAACATAATTAATGTGACAGATTGGCTTGAGACACGACCTTTGGGCTGACCTCTTTTAGTACGTCTAGCAGATCTGCTTGCCTGAGGCCACAAGTGTCAGGAAGTACGGAGCGTTATTGTTTTCATGTTGTGAAAGCTGAGGTCTGCCTTCGTCCAGGTTGTTGAGAAATGGCAAAACACATTTGCAGCTTAAAATCATTACTGTCTCCATGGAGGTTGGTGGTATAAATCTCTACTTCTGTGTATTTTAAATGTATGCTGCTAATACGACCACTATTTAGAGCAACTTCTCCAACTTTCCAAACCATTTAACAAACAACTTGAAATTGTCCCCATAACAACACAAAAATTATTCTCCTCATCTTGAAATGGAAATATTAGCCTCTTAACATACTTATTGTTGTCGTCTTTATTTACCCTATTGAGGAAGTTGGTGCTGTAAATGTGACTGACCATGACAAAACCATGATTACCGTATTTTCCGGACCATAAGTCGCACCAGAGTATATTTGGGGAAAATTTATTTGATAAAATCCAACACCAAGAACAGAAAGCCAATTTAAAATAAAAATGGAATAGAGGCAACAACAGGCTGAATAATTGTTACATAATGCATAACAAACTGAGAACATGCCTGGTATGTTAACAACAATATATTAACAGTTAATCAGATAACAATAGCATAAATAACATTTGTGTCTCTCCAAATCACTAAGTCTTAATTTTCGGTGTCGCTTGTAAACAACTCCACTAACTCCGTAGGTAGAATGACACAGGCCTAGAGCGCCCTCTTGCAGTTTAGTGTGAAAATAACATGTGACATGATACAATAATATGTTAATAATTTCACACATAAGTCGCACCTCCAGTCAAACTTTATCTTATTGTCCGGGAAATACGGCACGTCTGGTTGGAAACTGCAAAAACAAGAAATCTTACCAAGGAATTCTGGTTTACTTTCTAGTGCAAATATCTTTGCACACTTGAAATAAGACAAAACTGACTTAACAAGTAACACTTCTGTAAAATATCAGAGCCTGTCTTAAGTCAATGATTCCTTAATATAGGAAGAAAAAGTTCCTCTGGCAGATTATTTCAGGCTTTCTTTTCTTATTATTGTTGAGTTTCATAATGAAACAAATAAAGAATTATTTATGTTTTTTGCGTCTTCCTAGTAGGTAGATCATTTTGAGTTGGTGATTTTACAGTTAGCTCGCATGCTAACAAAGATTTAGCACTCCTGATTTAGAGGGTTGTTTGATCTTAATGAGACACTTCAGCGCATCTCAGGCACTATAAACACCACAGAGGTAACCTGGTCATTAACGCAGCCCGACTGTTTAATGTATCATTGTTGTTGTAAGTAATCAGGTGTGTGGGATGCAAAAGACAGCTGTCCAATTACAGTTTACAGCGGCGCTCTGCTCTCCGATTCTTATCTTCACTCTCAGGTCCAGCTTTTTCTGCTTTTTACCCCACTGATTGTCTGTCCAGGTGGTGAAGCTGTGAAGAGAAAGCAATCGAGGCGACGTCTGGTCATCCAGATGCCTTCGAATGGAGGACAGGATTGCCCGATGGTGCTTGAAGAGGAAAGGGACTGCGAGGTCCCCAAAGTCTGTCCCGGCTTCAGGTACAAGCACCGCTGCGGTCCCACTGGACGCTTACAATAAAACTGGAAACTTTCTGGAAACTTTCAGGTGTTTTCAGTTCATACTAAACACACTAAATTAAATTTACTTAAATGTTTATCACATTTTCTTCTCAGATCGTACCTTCTGTCTCTAAATCCAAATTTTAAATTCACAAAACAAAACAAAACTCCATATTTATCAAAATACAGGAAAAATCCTGGGTTTTCCATTACTAATCAATCCACTGCTAAACTGGGAAATTGAGGTAAATGGTTTGTCTTCTTAGAAAAACATAACTGAACTAAATAAGCCTGTTCCGAGGTTTAAGTGCTGATGAGAAACTTCTGTTATACTTTCACTGCAAAAACGCAAAATATTACCAAGTATTTTGTCTGTTTTCTAGTGCAACTATCTTCACTCGCTTGAAATAAGTCAAAACTAATTTAGATGTAACTCCAGCAACATGTAGAAGCTTGTTTTAAGTTAGTTATTTCTTAATCTTGATGAAAAAGTTCCAGTTTCACAGGCAGATTATTTTACTTACAACATGGGAGGAATGTTATGCTACAGGTGTAATAATCTACCTGTGTAACTAATGTTTTCTATTAATGTGGAGAAATTATTCATGTAAAACCAGCTCTTTTATCTTGCTGAAACATTACTTGTAAGTTACTTTTCTCTTATTCCAAGTGTGCCAAGATATTTGCACTAGAAAGAAGACAAAACACTTGGTAATATTTTGTTTTTTTGCAGGGTTTTTTCAAGTTTAGATTTTAGGATTTACTAGATTTCAAAACATGGAAAAATGTAGCTGTTTCATTATCTTTTTTAAAAACTAATGAAAAATGTCACAAGGCTACAAATCTACTTCCTTTAATGCAATAATATAATTTTCCCAGCTTAATGGAAGTAACAGCTAAAAGAAATGCTCCAGAAAATTACCCGCTTCTTTGAAAGTATTCCTGCAGGAAAACCTCAACTAAACATGAAAACATTAAATATTTTTACGTTTGCAGAAGAAATCTTGACCTTATCAGGTCGACTACAAGCAGAAATGAGAAATTATCTCCGTCAGTCAGTATTTATTCCAAAACACAACGTTCAACAGAGAATTAGAATAGTTGCTTTTATCAAATAAATATTGTATGTTTACATAGATTTGACTTTGTTTTAAATAAAATTCTATAAAAACATATTTGTAACTTGAAATGTGGATCATAAACACAGAAAACCTTATAAAAATGTATGTAGAAATGTTGAAAATGCATTTTTTGTGTGACAGGTGGAACATTACGACATGACTGCAATAAATGATTCATGACTGAACTTTATTTCCAGGTGGAAAACTCACAAGTGGAGGAAGTGCCAACTGGTTCCTTGGGTTCTCAGAAAGGAAACTCCAGGCGCTCAGGAGACGTGCGGACCCGGACTTCAGACCCGAGGTACCAAAACAAATATTCCCATCACCTAGTTTTTTATTTCATTGATTTTCTTTGATCTGTGGGTGATTTTTCACTCATTCATCCCAATATAGCGCATACAGAAAATGCTGGTGCTTTCATATGCCAGGAAAAAACTGAGTGTAAAACTCATGAATATCAGTGAGCTCTCCTGAGATCTGGATGGAAATATTCTCACATCTCGATGTGCGCCTCTGGAGACCGGTTTGGCAGTCGAGAGTTGTTTCGTTGATTATATTTTTCCCCCACCTCAGGCTCGAGTCATGCAATTTTAATCAAATGTCTCTTGTTGGAATTTAGGAGAAGATTTTGCACCTTTCCTTTTAAAACACACCAGTCCATTCCCCAGTTTATCCACGCTTCATGCATCTGTGACAAGTACTTTAAAGCGGAAAGCAAAGATTTCTTCCTGCTTTGCTGTAACGTATAGTCCAGGGAAGCTTTCATAAAGATGCAATTTCAAGGGGAATGATCAATTTCATTATGTTCCACCTCCAACATGAAGCTTTTATTAGTTCTTATTTTGCTGTTTCTTCTTCTCTACCTCACATTATTACAGGAAAGACTCAATCTGGTTTTAATCTGCTTTAAGATCCATCGTTCTGCACAGAGATGAGGATGTTGTTTTCACGTTTTCACTGATTTTATTTAAAGATGAACCAATCTGATATTAATATCTGATATTCTTCAATATCTAGATTCTTGTCAGTTTCAGTTTCTTTATTATTTATTTTACACCTTCTGCTAAAGCTTTGTTGTTTTTACATGTTTGACCAAGTTTGTGAAGCTATTTGTTGTTAAGTGAGCTGTACTGGTGCAGGGATGTCAGATAAATGTGTGTTCGGTACCAGAGGTGGGCAGAGGACCCAAAAATTGTACTCAAGTAAAAGTAAAGACTAACCATTCCAAGAAATTATTAAAGTAAGAGTAAAAAAGTATTTGGTAAAAACTCTACTCAAGTACTGGGTGACTAATCAAATTATCAATCATTTAATATTTAAAAATTACATCATCAGATGGAGCAAAATATGTAGTGAATTGGAAATTTTGGTATTTTTGGGACCAAAATGACAAAAATTCATATAAGTGACAAAAAAATAACATAATCAAGCCAAATAAAATTTTTCTAAATGAGTTTCTTTCAATAATAAACTCATGAAACTTTAACAAAACTGCAGGCGTGTCTCTGTGTTTGGTGAATTTTTGGTGAAAACATTCCTTTCAGTGTGTGAAAGGAGCGGTTCAAATCGTTTTACAAATTTAAGCGGATTTGGGTTTGTTTGGTTTTTCTACACCCTTTCATCCAGGGTGTAGAAAATCCAGAGATTTTAGTAAAATACTAGTAGAAATACTTCATAATGAAATTACTCACATAAAAGTTTAAAGTACAGCGTAGTAAAAATACTCCTAAAAGTAAATTTTCAAAAGAAAGTTACTCGAGTAAATGTGATTAAATGAGTTACTACTCAACGCTGTTCATTATATTTATTTAATGAAAATTTGTTTTAATTTAGCACCGTTTTTTCTGTATGAAATGGAAATGGATGTTCTTGTTCCTCAGTGACTAAAGAATACAATACTGTACAGTAAAAGCAAAACTTCAATACACATCAAATTCCTAATTTTACACCTTGTGACACTTTGTCACGTTTGTTTTTGTTATTGACTCGGATCAAAGGAGAAACTCTTATATCTTGATATTTACCTGCAGAGATTCTCACCTTAGAGGCAGAAAAACACAGTGGAGGCTCCATTAAACACACAGAGCCACAAGCTCTTCTCTCCCTGCAGCCACACAAACCCACAAACAATAAGACGTGATCCCACACACCAGCAGCCTTTCAACCAATAGCAGCGCCCACCGGGGTTTGACCAAAATGTGCTCCGAGATTGATTTCTCCATAAAGGTACAGCCCTGCAGAGCGTCACAGCAAAATGAAATACTGCAGCAGCACTTTATTGAAGGAACAAAGAGCAGGAGGATGCAGCTAAAAGCTAATTGACTTGTGGCGTTTTAAGCCAATCGAAGCGCGGACGCATTTGCGTCTGCCTCCTTTTGTAATTGTTTTTAAACCTCCCGTGAGATCCAAGCTGAATTTTGCGGCTTGACTTTATTTTTTTGCTCAGGTGTTCTTTAAATGAGATTTATTGGACCAATTTTCATAAGGTGACACAGTTCTCCAAGGTGTTAATGGAATATGTGTGACACTTTTAATCAAATCGCCAGAGGGATGTTCGCTGCATGGAGAGCAGCCGCTTCTCTGCAAGCGCTTTGGTGATTTATAAATTAAAAGTATTTTAAAATCCAGCCTGTGTAAGGATGTCCAAACAGGGGAGATGCGCTCCATTACAGTCCCGTTCAGTTTGTTTTAACTGAACTCTGGTTCCATTTGTCTAGAAAGTCCAGTTTGTTTCTATGCACTGCAAAAACACAAAATCTTACCAAGTAATTTTAGTCTAGTTTCTAGTACAAACATCTTATTACACTTAAAATAAAACAAATTAACGTACAACTACATTTGATGTGGAAGCTTGTTTTAAGTAAATAATGCCTTAATATTGATGAAAAAGTATTTGTTCTATTGGCTGATAAATTAACTGTTAATATGAGAAAATGTCTTGTGATAAGTTAAATGACTGCAGATAAAACAAGAACTTTTTCATCAATATTAAGGAATTATTTACATCTAACTAAAAAGATACTTGTAAACTAGTTTTGTCTTATTTGCTAAGATATTTGCATTAGAAGCTAAGCTAAAATACTTGGGTCACGTATTTTAGATCTAGAAATACTCGACCAAATTGTCTAGTATTTCAAAATTTGTTCAAAAGTTTGGTCTATTTTAATCAGAATTGCTGTGGTCAAATATTTGTTGACACTTTTTGAAGAAGTAAGTTGTGCTGGTCTTCTTCAGAGGTTCTATGCAGTTTCCTTTAGTAGTTCTTGGTGTAGCGCCACCACAGGTGAGGAGGGGAACAATTAGTTTGGATCGTTTGACAGAGTGAATGCGAACCACATAAGCTGAAAATGCAACAAATGTTGCAATTATGGCCCCCAATCGAAACAAGTCTACTGGACTTTCAGATGTGAAAACACAACTTAACTGTAAATTATTCGTGTTATTTGCTAGACCTGTTATCTTCTGTTAACTGTGCTCAGCAGGAACCGCAAAAAATTAAAATAACAAAATTAATTCTACTGCATAACATGACCTTGAACAACCTTTTCATGTCCGGCAAGCAGTGTGTTAAACCACTAACAAAGACGAATGTCGTAATCTATAAACTTTTCCCTCTGATTGTCCCAGCTGTGTCCTGCCGCCAGCTGGACGGGACGCAGGCCGACATCAGCGAGTGCCTGAAGTCCGCCAAGGCCATGCCCGCCATCACTCAGCGCTGTCAGCTCCCCTGCCAGGACGACTGCCAGTTAACCAACTGGTCCAAGTTCTCGTCCTGCACAGCTGACTGTGTGGGGGTCCGCACCAGAAAGAGGGCATTGATAGGTGAGGACGGGACGGGGGGGAGGAGAGGGGACGGCTCAAACAACGCGCTGCTGTGAGCCGGTCTCACAGCCGCTCGTTTTCTCTGTAGGTCGGTCTCAGTGAGGTCCCGCTCCGAGCAGTAAATCTAAAACTGTTCATCAGCTTCAGCCGAGTCGGGACGCTTTCTGGTCATAAGAATCAAACCGCAGTGAACTGTGAAGTTTTTAGAAAACTTTAAATGTGATCTGCCAGGTTAGCGTAGGTCTGTGGGTGGTAAAAAACACATTCATTACATCATTTGCACAAAAGCATTCAAGATAATATTTTAGTTCTGTCCATTTTGATCTCCTTTTAATATCCTTTCTGTGTCCTCAAAGATGTTTGAGGACACAGAAACAGCAGATGGGTCAGGAGTGATGATGTCACTCATGATGATTGTCTGGGCTCAAATTCTCGCCGTGTTCAGTTTAATACTTTAATTCTCATTTTGTAGTTTTTCTCATGGGCAACCTGGGAGATCAACCAGAAAATAAAAACATTGTGAAATCAGATTAGGAGCCTTTGCTTTTTCTACAAAAACTGCAACTTGTATTACTTGGAAAACATGAAGAGACTCAATATTAACCTTTAAGATTGAATTTTATATAACCTCATCTTTTCAAATTCCCCACAACTGTGTCACAATCAACTGATAAAGTGGGTGGCAAAAGGAAAAAAATGATTATGTGGAGCGTAATGTATTCTTTTCTCCTGCCTGTCAGTCGCTGCGATGTTTCCAGACAAATTACAGCTTTGATGCAATTAAGGAGCATCTTTGTTCCGGATGGGGAAATAAACAGGGCAAAAACATAAGAATGATTTTCAAAGAAGGAAAAAAAAATACAAAGCCAGTAAAGGTGCTTCAGGTTGTCAAAAAGCAAATCATCTCCTCATTTGCATGTGAAACGGCTGCTTAATGACGGCCTGCTGGAATGAGAAAGTCTCTCTGAACTGAGGAATTTGAACTTTAAATTTGTCTCCTGCGACCTGCTTCCGGCTCGTCTCTGTCTTGTCTTTTTTTGGCACAGAGCCGTTCTCAATGTGTCAACAACCAAACATTGCCTTTTCCAGCAGCCATTGTACGGTTCATACAGCAGTTCAACCAGCAGACCAAGAGTCCTGGAGCTTGAAATTCAAATTCAGAAATATTTTACCAAAGGGACATTAAATGCAGACAGAAAAAAGTTGCCGGGGTTGCCAGGTGAAGGGCTGTGGCTATATTTAGAAACAGGTCATTTTCATTAACTTATTGCTGTGTGGGTTTTTATAAGCACTTTGTTTTTAGAAGCAGCTGAGTCCCAAAAGGAAGTGTGCAAGATGTAAATGTTGCCGAATATTTCTCCGTTAATGTTTTCCTTATTATTCCATAATTTAACACTGGAGCAAAAACCAAGACGCGCTGATGTCAGCAAGTATTTTAATATGTTTTCTGCTAATCTCTTGTGGCTCTTCAGGGAGAAGCAAAAAGAAGGACAAGTGCAAAAACACGCAGATGTACCCTCTGAGCGAGACGCAGTACTGTCCCTGCGATAAGTACAACGCCCAGCCGGTGGGGAAGTGGTCCGACTGCATCCTGCCGGAGGGCGGCAGGGCGGACGGCACCGCGGCCATGAAGGTCCAGGGAGACGTCAAGGAGTGCGGACAGGGCTACCGCTATCAGGCCATGGTGTGCTACGACCAAGACAACCGGCTGGTGGAGACGTCGCGCTGCAACAGCCACGGTGGGTGAAGCCACTTCAGTTCGTCAGTCTGGTTGAATGAAAGGTTGTTCGGCGATTAGTGGGAGAAATTTGGTTTGGATGTGAAGTCAAGACCACGAGCTTCGGGCGGTGAAGCAGAAAACTCTCTGCCAATGATTGTGGTGTATCGATAAATCAGACCTGAGTGAAGATGGCCGCCCGCCTTCTTCACATTCAACAAATTTAGTTGCAGCAAAAATGAATAAAAAAAGGTTTGTGCCTCTAGCTAAATGTTTTCAGCCAGTTTACAGAATCAAACAGATGAAATGTTGCTGTTATTCATTAATTCAGATTCTTCAGAGTTCAGATGCCTGTTGGCAGGAGAGATCTTCTATAGCAGTCTGTATGGCAGCAAATCTGAAGAAGCCTCTGACTGAAGACTCCAATTGACTGTTCTACATTTATGTGCTTTTATGCAGCTACGTTTACCTAAACTGCAACAAAATAAACTTTGCAGGGATCCTTTTAGAAATCATTACATTTTAAGTTTAGAAGGATTTAGCAGAAGGATTTATGAATCAGATCGGACCTTTCCATTTGTTGTGGAATGAAAAACAAATCCTGTTTTTATTGCTTAAAAGAATGTTTATGTTAATATTTTCATCTCAGCCCTAAACAATTTGCACTGAAAAATTCTTTAAGATGTGGATAATAAATAACAATATTATTAGTTTTTGTGTGTGTTTTTTATTTTTGAGCAGTGGAGAAATTATACTGTAATTTTTTTGTGTTTGTTTTTTTTTTTTTATTCTTTCTGCCTGTAAATACTTTTGACTTTTCACCGACTTGGCAAAATATGTATTTTAATCTGAAATGCAGCCTCTCTCCTGGCTTTCTAAAACTTCCTTTGCATTCGCAACACAAGCCGACCCGACAGTGTCAGCAACTCGCTCGACACAGAACCTCTTTTCTCTGCTCTTCTCTGCTTTCCAATCGATTCCTCTTTAAAAAGAAACTGACTCCTAAGGCAGCAGAAATTTCTCTTGTCTTGTTGTTTAGGTTTCCTCTCAACCCGTCCAATTGGGCAAAGACCCAACGATCACAGCTTTTCCTCGCTCACTGCAGGATAACATACCAACATTGTTGGCTCAGTAAACCTCACAGGTTCCTCTGGACTAATTGAAACTTATTAAACTCAAGTGATTATTTTTCTTTTATACCACTTGTGTCACTTTTGATATTGTAACTACAAAGAAGATTGTTTTTATTTGCTGTTAGTTTGAGTTGATCCAGTTTGCAGCTGTAAGGCGGATGTGTTGCTGATGTTTTACTGTAAAGATGGCGGCAGCCTGAAAACGTCTCTGTTCTTTAATAAGAGGAGTAAAAAGAGGCTTTTTCTCTCAGGGAGAAAATGTTTGTGAGCTTTACGACCTCCTTTCTCTGCGGTTTGGTTCGTTTGTCTGATTGTGTGGAGTTAGACAGGGATAAGAGATGATAGTTATGCTTTTTGTTCAAAGCGGGTTTTGTTGGTTTTTTTCTGAGCGATATTCATATTTTAAGGTATTTTATTTTCTGAATATCAAGATCTGATGATGGATGGTTGTAGTTTAGGGTCTCAATCAAGTCATGGCACAACTGTCTCATAAATGTTTCGTTTGTTTCTAAAGTCTGAATTTGACCATTTCTGGACTAAACCTCTAAAATATTAATTGCAATAAAAGTTTTAATTTCACTCTGTGTGTAAGGAATCTATCCAATATACAAGTTTCACTTTTATTAAGATAAATTACTGGAATAAATTAACATTTCTATAACATTTGAGGTTATTTACTTGTTGATTGCATCAGGACGTTTTCTAAATAGTAAAAATGTTGATTAAAAAACTAACATGTTATTTCTAATAACTTTTAAAAGATTTAAAATATTCAAAAAGTTAGTTTGTGACCTAATAAAAAAAATCTTTTTAATTTCAAATATTGCATTGATTCATTATTCATTCATTATTCACTCCCATAAAGTCTTCCAGCATTTCTTCAACACAAAAAATGTTTATTTTTCCACTTCCGCTAATAAACAACAAACACTATTAAACATTTAATGGCTGCTGATTCGCAGTGAACATCATGAAGAAAAAACAGCAACTCCACCCCAAAATCACCCCATTTATCGACGTAATAAGTTATTCTTTAGGTTTCAGATTGATGCGTTTGGTGCAATCGTTTCACTAAATTACATCTAAGCAACACCAGTATTTTGACGTTTGATATAGATGATCGATATAAACTAATCGAAGGGCTCAGCTAGCTTATCTAAAGGTTAAAGTTCATGTTTACCTCGACTAATTGAAGAATTTATTCTGTTTTCAGCATCTTTGGCGTGTCATAAACAATTCTGCATTAAAGCTGCAGTGCAACATAAATCATAATTCAAATCTGAACTGACTCCTTTTCTCCATTCATTTCTCAGTTCCTGGTGTGAAATTTATTATAACAGCCCAATGTTGCAGAATCCCTTTTCCCTGAAATTCATCTGAAGTGTTTGTGGATTTGAAGCCGCTCGCTCACATGAGCAGGGGCTTACTTTAAATCCTAAATTTGAAAATTTGCAGGCTTTTTCTTCTGACAGAAGCGCTTGTGTCCTCCTTGTACGGCGGTTTTATCTCAGATCCAGAGACTTCAAGCACAGATGTTCGCCTCCGAAACGCGCTGGAAAGATTGCTGTGAAATGGAAAGACGGCTGAACGAACGCATCAGCGCTGTGCATATATGAGCAGGGTTTTAGTTTCCTCGTTTGAGTCACGGATTCAGATGGCTAATCTGAGCGTGGGTGTGACGGCGGCTCATCATCATCATCAGGATGCTGCTCTGCATGTTTACACCTGCGCGGCTCCCGGTTAGTGCGTTTATTTCAGGACGTAATTACAGTCGACGACAACGAAATGTTCTTTGAGATGCTCACAATAACCAAACCGTGTTGAGCAAGCGTTCGCTCGAGTGAATCTAAAAGCTATCATTAAACGTCTCATTCGTCCTGCCGCTCCCTCCATCTCAGCCGCCGTCACTTGAAAACTTGATAGAAGAAGAAAGAAACGTTCCTCCTCGACTGGGCGGCTGTGATCCAGACCAGGCAAACTGTGAGACTCTGATCTCGTTTCCCACCAGATAAAAAAAGACAAATGTAAAGCGCGATAACGGCTGGAGAGTCAGTAAACATTTCAGAGTGAGGGACAAAAGAACAATAAAATCTTTACATTGGCAACGTAAAGAACACTGCAAAAATACAAAATCATTCCAAGTAACTTCGGTTGAATTTCTAATGCAAATTGTACTCTTGAAATCAGACAAAACTAACTTTTCAGTAACATACAGGAGCTTGTTATAGGTCAATAATTCCTCAGTGTTAATTAAAAGCTTCTGGTTCCATTTTCCCTTGTTACAGGTGAGATAATCTGCCAATGCAAACAGTACTTTTTAATTAATATTACAGAATTCTTTACAAAGCTCCTATACATTCCAATTTGTTTCAATTCACTGCAAAACAAAAATATTACCAAGTAATAAGGGCAAATATCTTATTACACTTGAAATAAGACAAAACCAACAAGTAACTTTTCAGCAACACACAGGAGCTTGTTTTAGGTCAATATTTACTTCATAGTGATGAAAATGTTCTGGTCCTACTGGCAAATTATTTCACTTGTAACGTGGGAAAATGTTTTGTTATAAGTGAAAAGATCTTTCAGTGGAAGTAGTATTTTTTCCTACAAGACTTTTTCTTTTCTGAAGCCACTTCTCCACATATCCTGAATGCCGTTAAAGCATTTAAGACTATTGGCAGGAAGCAACGCTCTCATTATCAGGTAAAATTGGTTTCCAGACAGTTAAGAAAGTTTGCTGCAGCCGTGTGACATGTGCGCCTGGGAACTACAACAGGGACTTGTGTCAGACTGCATATTGATTTTAAAGACATCCGAAGTAAAGTCCTGCCAGGACCGAGACTAAAACCTTCCTGAGGACGCTGGGCGCCACATCAGTTAAAGTTAAGGTGAAGTGCAAGCTCAGCTGCTGCAGGACTCACATGACCTGAGCTTCCAAGTGACAGAGTCGGTGATATAAAGTGACTATGTTTAAGTGCTTAAAGGTCAGAGGTGAAGGAGCCAAGATGGAGTTCATGCTGAACTCAGCAGAGTGTGGATTCGGAAACATTGAGGTGGACAAAAAACAGGCAGTGCTGCAAGAAAACCTTCCAGTTTCTTCTGCTTTTTGTCTTATTTTAATGTTTTAGGTCATGAAACTAATTACATCAAGCAACAAAAACCTGAGTATAAACTCTAACCTTAACATTTCAGCTAAAGTAGCTCATACACTGTTTGATTACTGAATGGAGAAAGTCAATATTGGTGATACTGGTAGTGACAACATGCTAGTCATTCTACATGCTAGTGATAGTCTTTAGCTATGCTTAGCATACTGAATGGATTCTCCAATGATAACCCTCATCCTGCTGGTAGTGTCAACATGCTAGTCCTGCTAATGATAGCCCTGATGCTAATGTTAGAGCTGCAGCTAAATAAAAGCATCTGAGCTCATTTTTAATATCTGCACACCATTCATGTTGCATAATGAATGGTGTAAGTCAACATTGTAGTGATACGCCGCATGCTGCTAATAGCATTTAAGCTACAATTTGCAACTTAGTTAATTTTAGTTGGTGGCCTAAAGGTTGTGCTTTACAGCTCAATTGCAGTTTGTGCTGCAGGAGGCACATAAATGACACTCACTCCGTCAAAAGAAAGACGATTGTTGGTCTGCTGGGACACAAATGGAAGCTTGTTCAGAAAATTCACAGCAATTAGCAATGCAATTCTTTTTTTTCCATCTCTACAGTCGGACACCGAATTCTTCCTAGAAGATGATTTAATGAGACAGGTGTAATAACTGTGGGTAGAGAGAAAAATGCAAGAAATCTGTTCAAATTATCAAATGGGAAACATAAAAAAATGCAGCATTTCTTTATTTTGTTTGTCCAATTATTTTTTCAGAGATCTAAAATGAATTATGCATGAGTGTTTTATCCAAACTTGTTTATGTCACCATTGCTGAGAAATATTCTTAAATTATTAGCTGAGAATTAGATGTTTGTGTGGAGAAACATGACACTATTTATAAAAGAAATTAGAAAATGGACAGCTTACAAATATATCAACCAGGATCCAATTGTCATAAGTTGCAGAGAATTATTTTATTTATCTGCCAAGAAATAATAAACTAAGGAAGTAGATGAACACAGAGACACAGACTTGATTTTCCTGCTCACCTGACATAATCAATTTTCCTAATGAAACCAAACCAAATTAGAGACCAATTACATAAGCTAAAACTGCATTATTGTCTCTTCACTAAACGGATTTTCAGAGATGTGACGTACAAGTTTAAAGGTTCAGGGGAATAATTTGTTTTGGGAAATTTCTCTGAAGTCCTTCCTGGTGGAAACAAAGAAAAATTAAACCTGCGGGTGAAAAAAGCTCCAAAAAACAGCAGCGCCTATTAACTGTGTTGTGACCCAGTGAACTCAACATCAGTGGATTAAAATAATGAGGCTTTCTCCCAGACACAACAACTGTTTTGGTGAAATTTTGCTCTTACATAACTGATGATAAGTTGGGCCTCTGAGTGCAGTTTTATTTTACCCACTGAAAATCAGAGTGGATTTAGATTAAAAGCTCAGGTTAACAGTTCAAACTGATAGATTGGATTTAAAAACATGATACAAAGAAAATACAAGACTTAGTAAAAGTGATCTAATATTTACCAGTTCCTAAAATAATAGAAACTACAAAACTACAAAACTGTCGTTATTTGTTGAATGGGAAGCCAAAATCTGGCAGCCATGTGCGAAAAACTTAGTGCACCTTTGTTCTTTTTATTTTGATTTTATCAGCAGCAGGTGTGGCCAAAATCTAAAACGAAAACATCATGTCAGTTTTCTCACTAGGAAACTTTGCATTGAAACAGATTGTTTTAGAAAGCTAGCTACCTAAAAATTAAACTAGATGGGAGGTTTGGGCTACATAGAACTTAAACTATCTATATGGGAGCTACATGGGTAGCTAGCTAAAACATGAACTAGATAGGTATCTAGCTAGTATAGCTACCTAGATAGCTATCCTATAGACAGTTATCCTAGCTATCTAGCTAGATAGATAGATAGCTTGAGTCAATGTTAGTCAACATGCTAGTGATGACCCAATCCTACTGGTAGTGTCGACATGCTAGTCTCCCTACATGCTAGTGATAGCCCTCATGCTAATGCGGAGTAGCATGATAGCTATCTAGATATACAGATAGCTATCATGCTAAAAAAGCTAGATTGCTATCTAGGAAGGTAGATAGTGAAAAGCTAGAAAACTAGACAGGAAGATTTCCATACAGACAGACAGAAACAGATTATCGTAACCATCTCCCTGTCAGCACCCTAAGATATACGTAAAAGCACTTAAAACAATAAAATGTTAAAAACATTAATGTTTGTCTGTTGCTGCAGGATGCTGTTGGGTGTTTGTCACAACAAGCCTTACTAACTTCACTTCATCTTTGCTTTAATTATTAATAATGTAGAATATGCTGTTTGTGCACATTTGAGGTCAGATTAAAATAATTTCTAAAATTATTTTGTTAAAAAAGAATAGCGATTAGCCTCCATTTGCCGTATAATTAAAGCCCCTCCCATGTTGTTTCTGCCTGTCAGGTTATATCGAGGAGGCCTGCATCATTCCCTGCCCATCAGACTGTAAACTCAGTGAGTGGTCCAACTGGTCCCGCTGCAGCAAGTCCTGTGGGAGTGGAGTGAAAGTTCGCTCCAAGTGGCTTCGGGAGAAACCGTACAACGGAGGCCGGCCGTGTCCAAAACTGGACCACATCAACCAGGTGCGCAGAGAAAAAGCATCAGTCTGTGAACGTTACTAGTTACATTTACTTCTGTAACTTTTTGGAAAAAAGTTACTTTTAGGGGTATTTTCAACAGAATCCCCTGAAACCATAACACATTAACGCTCCATTAATGGAGTTTTCTCATGAATTCCTCCAATTCGTAAAAATAAAAAGCATGAAACTCGTGTTGATCCCGGCCTCGCAGCTTGTCGGTTTAGTTTGCCTCGGTATTTATGCCAAAAGCTTTTCTGATTATGTCCTCTGAAATGCTGCATTAGTCATGGCTTCTGCACTTTATGAGCCGTTAGCTCGCTCTCATTAATCCCTCTGTCTCTTCTTAATCCATAACAACTCCTGTCGGACGTGACTTCCTGCCACAGGCCCAGGTAAGAGCAGCTCTGTTCGCCGTGTGTCTCACATGTAAACCGTCACCTACACCAGTGGGAGACAGATTAATCAGATTAATCGTGATTAATCAGCTTAATCGTGATTAATCGTCAACTAGTTTAGTGATTGATTAATTGTTAACAGACTCAAATAAAAGGCAAATTGCAGAAAAGAAAAACACACTCAGCTGTAATTAAGCCAAAACCGTACAAAATATAATGTTATTTCCTTCATAAAAACAGACCTGGAGCTTTGCTTTGATTCTTTCATCCATGTTTAAGAAATCCTTTAATCTCCATTGCAACCTTTCAGCCACCCAAAACGCCTGATCAGACCTAGCCCCGCCTTTGAGACGCAGCTCCTCCTCAGAGCTGCAGATTCCAAGCTTCCACCTCACAGAACAGCCCTCTCCTGCTCCTTCAGACTAGCCAGCAGCAATCAGCAAACACCTGGTGGAACTGTTCATCTGCTGAGCTCATTATAGGAGCTGCTATAATGAAGCGTTTCTTCAAATGTCTTTTAGGGGTTAATAGAGCAGCCATGTTGTGATTACTTCCTGAAGGCCGAGCTTCACAAAGAGCAGGAGCTTTTTAAAGAGACAGACTCAATTTCAAGGTGTTAAATCACTCCAGCCGAATAAACAGTCTGTTGGAGCTAAATCTCAAAAAGTTGATTGAAATTATCGTTGTGTGTTAGACTAACCTGCCACGCTCCAGACCAAACTGTGTGAAGAAATAGAGTCCAGTTTTTATGCTCAGATCTTTTTTTAAACAGCATGAAAGTGTAAAAGGTTTCCGTTGCTCTCAGGTGTACGAGGTGGTGCCGTGTCAGAGCGACTGCAGTCAGTACGTCTGGGTCGCCGAGCCGTGGAGCGTCTGGAAAGTCAGCAACGTGGATCTGAAGGAGAACTGTGGCGAGGGAGTCCAGACCCGAAAAGTCAGGTATCTGCAGGAAATAAAATAATAACATTTTTAAAAAATAAATAAAAATCAACTTGGAGTAATAACTAGTTACATTTGAGTAACTTTTTAGACTTTAATAAATCTATTAGGAAGTTTCTCTTGATAATACTTCAGTAAAATTTCTGGATTTTCTACCCACTGAATGAAAAACAAACATGTTTTAACTAATAAATCATCACTTTTTCCTGATTTTGTTATTTTGTAATCAAGTTATTTATGTGAATTATTTTCATTTTGTTCCTTTGGTTACCAAAATAAAAAAAAAGGTTATATTTTGATCCATCAAAATATAACAGATCAAAATTATTGTAAAGTAAAATCAATTTAATTTAATGTTTAAATTAATTATTATTAATCATAGAATTAATATTAAATTTTTAAGTATTAAATAATTGCTGTTTTGGTAAGTTATATTACATTTAACCAAATTATTTTTCACTCTTGAGTATTTTATTTATATTTTTTACTTTAACTGAGTAAAAATATGTTCTACTCTTAGTCCATTTTTTTGTTAAATCAGAACTACTTTATTGTACCAGGTGATGATACAATAAAGTAATAGTAATTTGAAAAGTTTCATATAATCCACAAAAACACAAAATAAACTATAATTGTTAAACTAAATGGCAGATTTTAAGAACACAAACTGTCATTCAGTTTCCAGGTTCACTGTTTGGAATGAAGAAGGTTTTTCTGACGGGTTGAACTGGTTTCCAGGTGCATGCTGAACACTGTGGACGGGCCGTCGGAGGCCGTGGAGGATTACCTGTGCGACCCGGAGGAGATGCCGCTGGGAGCCAGGGAGAGCAGGCTGCCGTGTCCGGAGGACTGCGTCCTGAACGACTGGGGCGCCTGGAGCCGCTGCAGCATGGTGAGCAAACCCAGCGCCGGGCGACGGAAACCATCAGAGCTCATCGGTTCCTTAATTCATGCTGAATTTGATTCAAACAAAATTAAAAGTCCCTTTTAAAATCATCATTTTAACATGAAATGGATGAACTTTAATATAGTCTGTCTGGAAAATATAATTTGTGGAATATGATTGCAAACGTTGGAGATTATTTATACAGTATGGCGCTAACGCAGTAACCAGGAAGTGAAGCAGTGCTGTCTTTCTTTCAGTATAAATATATTTTGTAGCGTTTGACGCCATCTTGGCGATTAACGATTGAACTCCTGAGAACCGGTTCTCGATTCAGAAACCCTAAACTCTTCGCTAGCGGAGGCTCCGACTCCTGAGAAGCCCGCTGAGATTTATCTTGGTATCTTTTTCTTGTCACAGATATTTTCCCTCCGGTGGGGAAGACACAAAGCTTAGCTGCACTGTATTATCGTGAGGAGTGTGTGAATCTTTGTCAACAGGTTCCTTCTGGTCCACGGAGGGGGAATAAAGTAGATCCATGAACTGGGGAAGCAAGACAAAGTGGCTTATACATCACCTATATTACACTGTGCTCACCGCGCGTTCAGCAGGGGACGGTGATGATTTATGATAAAGACTCACCACTTCGGAGCAGGTCTCCAGCTCACATTTAACGATGCACACGCACCTGCATATGTAAGCTGGAAACAACGCGCCTGGTTTGGCAGACTGCCACAAATATGTACGATAATTTATTCTGTTTGGAAACAACTTTATTGAAATAAGCAGAATGAAACAAAGCAGAGATCATGGAGGAGCACAAATCTGGAACAAACATCAAGAAAACTGCAAAACAGCAGAAACACTGAGTTCCTTTAAATCGAGACTAAAAGCCCAGCAGTTTAGAGCTGATTTAGAAACGTAATAAATGAAAATTAACCGACAAATAAGATGTGTGTTGATGTTTTTGATGATGGCCCTCCATACAAGAAATGGTGAGCAGAACCTTTTTAAATTGCTCCTCCTTATTTCAGATATGCATTCGTTTCTCTAATATTTCACTAAGTCAGGTGTCAGAATATCCTCTTCACTGGTTTCACTGGTTTCACTGGCTTCACCAGGCCATTGTGTAATCACAGCCAATTCTTTCCCGCTCATGAAAACTCCCCATCTACCCACAATTCCCTTCTCGACATGGCGTCTGCAGTGGCACCAGCAGGGCTTCGCACATGTTTTATTCATCGTTCCAGCAATGGAGCCGTTCAGAAGGCTGTCATTTTCTCCCACTGTTCTCCGTTCTTCAAACCCGGAGAATCTGACGGGTCGCCGGCCGAGCAGAATCTCTTTCTCGGCTTCCCTGTGATTTCTCGCTGGAAAAAATCAAATTCCACATCCTGGAATGGGGACAATGGGTCAAAATTGGCGGTTTCATGGACTTTTTTTACGCTTAGATGCGCTAATAAGGATCTCCTAACAGTCGACCTAAATGCTTGTATTTAAATCTTCTGCTACGACTCAACTGGATTTCTTTTGACTCTGTGTTTCATCATTTTACGTTTTGGTGCGTTGCAGCCCTGCACCAGGAACAACAGCCGGGTGCGGACGGCGTACGCCCTGCGGTACGCCGGCGTGGGCAGGCAGTGCCCGGAGCTGGCCGACCGAGAGCCGTGCAGCCTGAACCTCAACTGCTTCAACTACTTCTACAACATCACAGGTCAAGAGCCAGACAACCTTCATCAGGAAATACGTGCTAAACATATCGGTCCTTTTAAAATATAGATTTTAAAGAAATCAGATTCACTGAGCCATAAATATTAAAGTGGAGATTAATTAACAAATCTGAGATTTGTAGTTTATTTAAAGCGCATAAAAACATTAAGGAAAGATAATTTAGCTTGAGCTAAATATTAAATAAAGCAGTTTGATATCATTAAAAATTTAATCTAAAGTCACCATTTCACTGTACAAAGTCATAACATTATAACAATGTGAACAGTACCAAATGTCAAACTTCTGCTCTGTAATACATTTTAAAAACCTCTGCTTAAAGTTAATTAATTTCAGTAAAAGGTATCTGAACATTTTTCTTTAATTTAAATAATTCCTGGAAGTCTTTTTAATTCGGAGTAAATCGAACTCCCACATTGTCGTTTCTTCGAAACGTTCAGAAACCTGAACAGAGTTTAGCATCGATCCTTATTTAATCAGAATTTATTAAAATGGCTACATGTGTCTTATATAGCCAGACTGCAATCCGTTTATAATCCGCCTTGCTGCATGCAGACAAACACGTGTATCTGTGTGTGTGTACATAATGAACGGGAGGAGGTTATTGTTGGGTAGAACATCCTCTTTCTCGCTCCATCCTCCACCGTTTCTCCGCTTTTCCTCTCTTACTGTCGCTTCTTCTCGCTTCGTTCTCCTTATTCTCGGTCCCCAGAGTGACACAAGGCGGTTCGGCAGACGGAGGCCCAATTCCCCGACTTGCAAACGAGCGTTCTGCTGCTAAAAACAGCCAGTCGTCTCTGTTAGCTTATTTTATGAGCCGTACCTCAGCCTGTGTTGTTAAAGAAGCTTTTTACAACACATCCAGCTTGTTTTGAATGTATCTGCACCCCAGATTTGGTGGTAAAATGCTATTTCTCATCACTGATTTCCTTTATCTGGGACAGGTTTGGCTTCTGGAAAGCCTGGTTCTGTATTTTTCAAAGGTGTGAGCCTAAATGCATCCATATGGTGAAACTCCTCGATGCTGGCAGAAATTACAAAGACAGCAGCCACATTCGCTGGCTCTGAGGGAGACGGCTTAAATAACCTCATTGCACACAAAGTGTTCATTTGTTATCGTTGTTGAGCAGCAGCCAAATACTTTATAAAGCTCGGCTTCAAACAAAGAAAAGAAGCACTGATCATTTCAGGGCGATTGCAACATGAGAAACTGTTGACGTGCTAAAGGAGAAAGATAAGTCATTTTTGTGCTTCACTCTGCGAAATCAACTCGTCTGCCTAAGGTGGGCATTTCATATGCATCGCATATATACATCCTAAAATCCGTCCAGATCCAGTTCCTATATGGTGCAAGGATTTCTGCGTCAGCACTTCCTGTAATTACATTTCTCCAGTGTTGTACTGCTCTTATATCTTAGATGTTGTCCTGGACTTGCAGGGATTTTCCAAAGGTGAACGGATCAAAATCAAACATTTGTTGTTTTCTTTTTAAAATGACACATGTCGCAGTTCTTTCCCACTTTGCATTATTCATTCGATGTAGTTTGGACTCTGAATCTGCCTTTCTGTCTGTTTCTTTGCAAGAAAAAGACATGGTGTGTCTGTAGAGTCATTTAAAGCGGATCTAAATTCACTTTTTGAACATTTTTATTCATCCATTTTGATCTCTGCTGCTTCTAAAAACATCCCAAGTTTTTTGGGTTTTTTTACAATACGTTTATATTTTTGAAGTCTGGAAAATGAGCAGTTTCAAAAACCTCACAACTGTTAAGTCACATTCTCTGTTTTCAAGCAACCCCAGCAAAGCCCAGATGTCACACAGCAACAAAAACTGAGCTCCAGCACATTTGGTCAGCTTGTTTTACCGCCGTATGCTCTGTACAATGGCTGCTGGAAAAGACCAGTGTTTTATTGTTGACTTGCCATCCGGAAACCACTTGCTGCATTCTCGTTGGTTGTGCATGAGGCTCCACTTCTGATCTTCAAATATGTACGGTTGTATAGTTGGGCGTCTGTTTGTAGACATTTTCACGTGAGAAAGTAAATGTTGAGTTGGTAATGTGGCCAAAAGCAACTTATTTGGATTTAAAGTGACAAAATAGGCAGAACTGACCAGACTTAAAATCTTATTCTCCAGGAATTATTTTGTGAAAAAATGTAATGACTATGACAGCAAATAGACACATCCGAACGTCTAGTCGCTGGATGTCAAGATACGCCTGGCGTTTCGACACTAATTGGTCAATATTGTTGAAAATATGCGTAGAGAGAATAATTTGGTTGTCATCATGATGTCAGTGTGGCAATCAGAGAAAACTGCTGGGGCGCCATATTTAATCAGCTATTTTATTTAAAGTGTCAGGCTTTCAAATTCTGCATGATAATAATTTTTTGACTTGTTGGGGAGATGCTAATGGCCAAATATGTTATATATTTCACTGGTTTACATGCTGAAGCTAACAAAGAGAGGCTGGTCAATATCATTATTGAAAAGCAGGAAAATAGTCAGGATGACTCAGTTGTCATATTCAATCGTCGTATCTCAATTATATGTTTTTCTGTGTTGTGTGATCCTCTGTACAGTTCATTTTACTGAATCGCAGTTCAGTAAAATGAACTGTTTGGTAAGATGCGTCTTTTCCACAAACCCATAAATGATAACGTGTTGTTGTTTTCAAATGCGGCTCCCACAGGTCTGAGATCAATGAACATGTTTTCCTGCCAACAGTGGAAACTGGCTGCCTTGAGGCGTTTGTTGGTTTCTACTTATAGATTTTCTTATAACTTCACTTCCACTAAGCCCTAAATCTTTCCCAAACACAGAGCATGTATGTTTGGCTTCTCCTCCCCACCAGGTAGCAGCTGGTTATTTGAAACTGACGATTTCTGACTGCTTGTTCTGCCGTGGAAAGAAGTGGAAAACAAAATCCACTTCTTTCAATCCCACACTTTTTGTTTCTTTTAGTGTCTCTTTTATCCGACGTGTTGATGGGAAAAGTGAAATCCCGACCAACTTTCACTGGAACTGGTTATTGATTTGAGTCGTTTCAGGCGGAAAGGAACTGTAAAAAGTAATTTATATCAAAACTCAAAAATATTTTGCCCAAGTCCAACTGAAATTACTGGCAGTCACAGCAGGTTTTGTGCCAGAGTGATGAATAAGAAGAGAGTCCAGAAATAACAAGATAATTTTATATCTCAGTACTTAAAATTTTATGTAGAGTAATGGGGAAAAGGTTTCTAAGAAAAAATATGTTCACTCATTCGTCCACTACTTTTAGTAGTAATAAGTTTGTAGTAATTTTCTGAATAACTTTTTCAGTCTTTGAGAATTGATTTTAATTTAATTTTAGGCTTTTGAAAGATTTGTTTCTTTTCCAGCCGTTCTGCTGTAGATTTCCTCCCATGTTTGTTCTGTTGAGAGTCAGATGGCCTCATGTTTAACTGTTACGGCACTTTGGTGCTTTAGTTCTTGGCAGCTCAATAAGTGCAGTTTGGTTCTGGTCCTGTGGCTGAAAAGAAACCCAAATCAACAACCATGCACCTGTGTGTTGGACAATAAGGTGACATGTTTGTGTTGGCATGATGTTTGGTTCTTTTCCAGACATTTTGTTTTACATTATAGCCAAAGTCTGATCCGTATTGTTGTAGCAACTTGCCATATTCTTCTCAGAAAGACGGAGCTTTCTGCTGCCAGGTCTTCCTGTTTCTGTTTATTGGATCGTACAGTAAATCCCCTAAAAGCTGAAACCCACAAATGCTTCAGACTCACTCTAAAAACACCAATAACTGTCTGTTTTAATAGTTAAAACAGCAAACTTAAGTTAAAATGCAATATTGCTCTGAGTGGGTTGTGTGTCCAGTGCTACTGGATTAGCGACATGCATTGGGGTTTCTAAAGCTGCAAATATTTTAAATATGCTCCATGAAAAAATTTGCAAATAGGCAAATTTTCCACAATTTATTGTCGCCACAGAAAAATCAGAGTATCACTGCAGAAACACAGAATCTTACCAAGTATTTTTAATCTAGTTTCTATTGCAAATATCTTAGTGCACTTAAAATAAGACAAACTAACTTACAAGCAGCTACTCAGCAAGATATAGGAGCTAGTTTTAAGTCAACATTTCCTTAATATTGATTAAAAAGCATTAGTTCCCTTGGCATATAAACTAACAAATTACACAGGAAAAAATGTTATAAATGAAATAATCTGCTAATGGAATTAGCACTTTATAATCATATTAAGAAATGTAGGAAGTTCCTACATCTTGCTGAAAAGTTATTTGTAAGTTACTTTGTCTTTTTTCAAGTGTACTAATATATTTGCAATAGAGATTAGACCAAAGTTTACTTGGTAAGATTTTGTGCTTTTGCAGTGAATCTGCGAACAATGAACTGCAAATAGTCCCACTCTACTGTCATGGACCGTAGCATGCTAACCGAAGCTCTTAAAGCTACAGCATGCAACTTTTATTGAAAGAAATACATGTTTGCACATATTTGTTAAGAATATCACTATTTTGTGACATGTTGCCTTCCCCCTGTGATAACTGTAGAAATACTTCGCTGAGTCAGAAACAACCAATCAGAACCAGGAGGAGGGACTTAGCTCTGTCAATCACTCTCATGTATGTAGCACTCCGATTGCTCTCTGCTAGAATACAACTAGCACAGCCTGTCATGAAGGCTAAGGCTGCTTAGCATGGAAACCAGTGAGATCATTTAAATTGAGCGCATTGCTGATAGCTCTCTTTGTCGCTCCAAAGCAGGAAACTGCAGAACCCTGCGCCTCAGCAGAGAGATTTAGTCGATCAAAATTAGTTGATTAAATGCATTTTCTTTGCTGGTTCGTTCTCTTTATTTTAAAGACTAGACTACAATAATGAATTTGAAGCTATTGAAGTGTGGTTGAGCAACATTGACTTTGTTGTCATCAGAAAAAGCAGTGATGGCTCATGTTTAATTGATTTTCATTTCATTTTTTCTCCTAAACAGCAGAACTACTTGCAAAATGTAACATTCCTGGAGTCCCCAGGACACAGAACCAACTTAATTTGAAACTGTTTGGTTGTCTAAAGTGGTATCAATTTCATGTTTTTATGTTATCAACCAAAGCCTTAAAGCTGATCCTCTGAAGACTTCTTTTCCAATTCATAAGAGCTACTTGAGCGAGATTTGATACAAATGAATGTGTGTCCTCAGAGGGTTGTCGGTTCCTTCAGAGTTTAGATAGTAAGTGGGCATAACTTGGAGTCTGAGCTGCTGATGGATCCCCCTGAGCTTTTAGGTTGGATTTGCTGAGTGCTTTGAGTTATTATCCCTCTGTCCTGGGAAGATCTCGCCTGTCACTAGAGCAGGATTTGACTGAGTCTGAGGAGAAAGTATAGCTCTCTAAATGTCAGTGGAGGGAAAAAAACCCTGCAGCTTCTGTCAGAACGCGCAGCATCAGTAAATGCCAGCCGTTTCTTTGATTCTACACTGCTGGATAGACGATGTGGTATACTTTAAATCCCACCATTTCCTTTTCTTCTTTATCAATTAAACATAATTTAGCTGCCGGCTTATTCATGTGAACGCTGCTGAGGAATATTTTTTGTTAAACCACTTGAATAAATACTGAAAACAGTTTTGAATAAAACATTTCTTAGAATAAAAACTGAAAGGTTGCAGCTTAGTCACAGCTTGAGTGCTTCATTACGTTTCCATTGTGCGGTTGAACAAAAGGAAATAAATTGTGAGGATTATAACAAACTGTATATCATGACTCCAAGTCACCTGCTTTTCATCTCTGCATGCACGTTGGGAGGTAAAATCAACAGTGGCAACCTGCTGAATGCTAATATGTGTTTTCTCTTCCTGCTAAATCTGTGTGCTTTTAAAGCTTCTGTGTGACAATCGCACAAAAACGGGAAATACATCCAAGCAGAGTGAGATATGAATGCCAAAAAGATGAAATGGCTTATAGAGCGACATGTTTTCTACTCTTTAAATAAACATAAGATTAGCCCAATTTTATGAGAGCCTAAAAAAATTATGATCTCAGAACCTCTTTCAGTGTTGTAGTTTGGCCGCCAACCAGAAGAGGGCGCCACAGGTCATTCTGACAGAATTAAAGATGGAGGCTATACCAGTGCAAGAGAGATTCACATTCAAAAGGAAGGATGGAGTATGGAAATTATTGGAGGAAGTTTAAAGGAGTGATGACAAAGTTACGGTTCGGACATAACGGATTAATTAAAACTTTACATTCGATACCTAAACATACAACAGTTGGATGTTGGACATGGAGACTGTAGAACATGTCATAATTCATTGTGAGACGTCTAGGACAAGTAGAGAAAAATTTAAATAAGAATTTAGGACATAAGATGTGGAAAAGTTATTAATTTTTAAAGGAAACAGGATTATATTTAAGAATTTAAGTTGGTTAAAAAAGAAAAATACTCTCCAGCCCAGTAGTTGGCGATAACGCATCTTAATGTTAGAATTCAGCCGAGCTACATGACGGAGCGGCACCAAGTTCTCATTCGAAGTTTACTAATTTGATACAAAGGAGAGAATAAACAAGCAAGAAACATAAAAATCTTGAAGTGTGGCATATAAAATCACATTTATTACAATCATTTACGTTGCTATTCAAAGCAGATGAGAAATTTTAATTCAGGTTTATGAAACATAAGGAGCCTTTTGAGTCACTCCGTCAGGAAGCATTTCCATAATTGGACGATGACTTAACATCTGGAACGTCACGATCTACAATAAACAGACGGATTTTTACTTCCATTTCGGGTTCAACTGCTTCCAGCAATGAGTCGATGTTTCTCTGGCACTGTTAGGGAGTTGTCTAAAAAAAACAAAACGGCTCCATAACTTAGCAACACCAGCACAGCTCCATCTGTTACCGAGCAACCCAAACGTGGTTCCAGCAAGTTTGGTCAGCTGGTTTTACCGGAAATCAAAAACTATGATGACGGATACAAGAATAAGTGTTTTTTTTTATATAGCATGTCAATAAGTCTGAGTGTCTTTGTTTGAGGTCCAACTTAAGCAACTTTCCTGGACTAGCGGTTGATTTGCTTGCTGAATTTAAAGCATGTTTTTAATGTCTGGGCTCCAAAAAAAACATTAAAGATCTAAGATATTTTCAGTTTCTGTCTGCAAAATAATGATAAATATATTAAACGATGTTGGGAAGGCTTTGTGCAACCACACTGTGCATATTGACAGATTTAAAAGAACAATAAAATGTTTATTTCTTCTCATAGCACAACACTGTGGCTTGGCTGAACACACAGCTGGAAAATGGGTCACTGTGGCATCTCTGTTCTTGTATAAAAAAAAAAAGGATTGTATTTATTTTTTTGAGAGTACTTCTGCTGCCATCCAAGTCTTTTCTGGCATAAAAAGTGTGTGTGGGAAGGACTAAAGAGAAATGCAGCGAACAGAAAAACATGTTTTTCTCCTTGTGTGGAGAAAAGCCAAAAGAATCTTATCAGCAGTTAAACTAAAAATAAACTAAAAAAGTTGGAGGCCCAGATTAAACTATCCACAGCGGGCGTATCTTCTCGGTTAAATCTTACTCTGTGTGAATAATAAAAACATTAAAGTAAGAAAATGAAAAAATGATTTAACAGAGATTTGACTCGGATCACAGACATGATTATGGAAGCACAACACCAGTTTTTAATATTAAAAAGAAAATTGCCTTGGGATTCTTGTGGGATCCGTATCTACTGGCTGTAATGAGAGTATGATCAATCAGTGGACATTATTTAAAGATCAGAAACTTTTAATTGGATTCCCAATTTTCTTCTGAGCCGATTTTATTTCCACAACATAAAATCTTTTTCATTTAATTTAATCTTTGATGTTTAGCTCTGCTGTGAGTTTTTCCTGCATTGTGTTGTGGTTTATCTGATGCCAGAAACCTTTTTATGTTCTCCAGACTGGAGCACTTGTCAGCTGAGCCCCAACGCCGTTTGTGGAAGCGGCATCAAGACCCGGATGCTCGACTGCGTTCGCAGTGACGGCAAATCTGTTGATATTAAATTCTGCGAGGAGGTGAGCCAGGCAGTAATTTTCTCCATATCACAAATCATGATTTATTAGGCCTGAATATTTCATAGTGAAATATTCAGTTTGCCATGCTGAGGTTGCTGTGGGCTAAAGCTGAGCGCTTTATTGGTTTTAAGTGATTCTCACCACAACGTTTCACCTCTTTGCTGATTTTTAGCATCATGCTTCATGTCAGAATGAAAACCTTCACCTTTAACTTCCCCTTGGATATGACAGATTCTTCTGCTTGCTGAAAACTGTGATGTGACTTTTATTTAAATGATTTATCATCTTTTGCATTTATAATTTCTGTTTCAGCTGAGTTTGGAAAAGACCTGGCAGATGAACGTCTCGTGCACCGTCGAGTGTCCCGTCAACTGCCAGCTGACGGAGTGGTCGGTCTGGTCCGAATGTTCGCAAACCTGCGGGCTGGAGGGTAACATACAATTACGATCCATGGTTTATTAGATTACAATCAGGTCAAACCGATCAACTAAAAAAAAAAAGAGTCTTAGACCTTATTTTGGCCGCCATCCAGCAGGGGGCGCCATTGGCCATCCATAACCAGAGCCGTTGATAGAGAAATTAAAGATGGCGGCTATTCCAGAACTGTAGAGAGGAACGGTCCAAACGAGTCCGGTGTGGGATGAAACAACGCGGTTCTGTTTCGAGATACAAACACTCCAGTTCCTTAAGCTTCAGTTTAATAGCGCTTCTTTTCACGAGTAGCGTAAACGTCTCATTCACAAAGTCCAGATGTGCTGCAAGGATAACAGGAAACAACATGGCGCCAATAAGGATTTCAACGGCTTTATTTTTTTCTCTTTTATTTTTTCTTATCCAGCAAATTAAAAGGTTCCTGTTCTGTTATGTCTTTATAAATATCTTATTTTGATGTGAGAAAATTAAAATTTTCTGTTTTAAGCGTGTTTCAATACAGCTGACACAAAATAGTGCAACGATTTAATGAAATCTCTTATAGTTCAGCCATGGAAAGAGAAAACTCAACTGCTTGATGGTGACGCAGTCATTAATTGATAACTTGCATCCCCACATTGAAAAATACAAAGGCTTGCGTCAGGTGAAAGGAGTGTGAGCAGGAAGCTGTTTCATCTGACTGAAGATGTTTCTGTGTGGGAGGTTCTCTGGTAGGAATCGGATCTGAGCTCTGACTGTGTGTGGGGTGCAGAGGATGGGTTTGTTGAAAGGTGGTACATGAAGGCAGAGGTGCATTCCAGGGCGAGTGGATTGCCGGGAAGGCTGCGTGGAAATAAAAGCGGAATATGCAACAAAAGGGAAGGTTGTTGAATTTTGCGAGTGGGTGGTTTAAAGGAGACAGACAGCACAGCAGGGCTGAATTCAGAAATGTCAGAGAAGGGGCTTCTGTGTAGTCTTACAGCTAATTCTTCACATCCATCCGGCTCTCAGATCAAACGGGATGCATCAGATTTATCCAGACAGGGTTCGCTGATTGATGTGGAAAAAAGCCATTTCTCTGAGGTTGACCAAATACCAATCAAGACATCAGAGCATAAGAGAAGCATCGCAGGTCGCTTAGAAAAGCCCCGCTCTATTAAGTGAAGCGCTGTGGTTCACAGTGAGATTAATTTAATACATTCAACACAAACGCATGCAATCAAAATGAGTTGTTTGCAAAGGGAAAGAATGACTGCTGTGCTGCAAACCGTAAAGGTTTCTGCGTCTGAAGCTGCTTAAATTTATTGGGTTCAAAACAAAGTGCTTCAGTTATGTATAATTGACATTTTTAAGTACACAAAAAAATATTTGTTTGGAAATATATAAAGGGTCTCTATGCACTGCAAAACACACAATTTTACCAAGTATTTCTGGTCTAGATTTTAATGCAAAAATACTTCAGTACATTTCAAATATCAAGTCATTTTTTTCTTTCTATCTTAGTTTTCAGTTAAGAGTTTATCAAGGAATAAGTACAATATTAAAATTATTTAATTTTTCTATAGTTTTTCTATAATATTCTATAAAGCATAATTAGGGATGCACCAATCAGCTTTTTTTCACTTCTGATTCAGATATTTGAAGTTAAATATTAGCTGATACCAATTAGATACAGGAAAAATAATTGACTTAAAACCTTTTTTCTTTTTTTAAACAGACATAAATATTCTGGATTACAGAGTTATTAGATAACTCTGCACCAGTACAGCACATTTAAACACTCCAATAGCTGCACAATCTTGGTGAAACGTGTAAAAACAACTTAACTTTAATTTTTCTGTCAGTGCAACGAGAAGTATGACAGCCAATGTAAAATAAGTAAGAAGGAACCTGAATTTAGTGTTTGGGCAAAGTTTAAAAAAAATAAATCACGTCAAACTTTGGTTCAGAAAGTGCAATTAGGATTTTTAAATGTGACAAATTAAATAGCAAAGCGTAGATTCGACTGAATAGATCTACCCTTATAGTCACTAATGTGCAATCTAGATTTTTTTTCAATGTTAGTCTGATACAGATATCAACATTTCAGTAAGATATGGGAGTTTTATTAAATGAATAATTTCTTAAAATTAAAAAAGTGCTAATTTCACTTATGGGAAAAATGTCTTGTTACAAATGAAAAATCTGCCTGTGGAACAAGAACCTTTTAGAAATAAAAATACTTAAAAAGAGCTAAAACAAACTCCTATGTTTTGCTGAAAATTCACTTGATAGTTGGTTTATGCACTGAAAATTAGACCAAAAATTCCTGGTAAGATGTAGTTTTTGCAGAATAAAAACAGAAAACGTGGCTGTTGTTCTTCCAGGTAAGATGCAGAGGCAGCGCTCGGTGGTCCAGGCCTCGCAGGGCGACGGCCGGCCGTGTCCGACCCAGATGGAGCAGTGGAAACCCTGCCCGGTCCGACCCTGCTACCGGTGGCAGTACAGCCCCTGGTCTGAGTGTCGGGTCGAGGTACGTCAATAAATCATTTGCAACGTACCGAAATCCACCGACATTAAATATTAGTAAGTGCATCGACTTCTGGCAGCAGCAAAGAATGCAACTCTGTTCTCTGAGATCAATAATTAGGAGGGCTGGAGCCAAAAGGGTGATTCCTCAAAATATAATGGTGTTTAGTATTGATGGACGACCTCATCATATTCCTGCTCATACTGTAGTTCTGCTACATGGACAGTAGAAATCAATCTAATGCATATTTAATGCTGACACATTAGTAAAAACCTATAACTTTGCCAAGGAAATTGAGCTGTGTGCCTTAAGGTTAGAAGAATAAAGTCTCCTGTTGTGTTAAATTTGGTCACTTCTGTTATTAGACAAGCAGATTCCAACTCTGAGCCTCTACACAGCAACAACACAATCTTACTAAGTGCTTTTGCTCTGACTTATAGTGCAAGTGTCTTTGTAGAGTTGAAAAAAGACTAAAATAACTTACAGGAACTTTTCAGCAACATGCAGGAGCTTGTTTTATGTCAATAATTCCTTAATATGGATGAAAAAGTCAATATTGAGGAATTAATGACATAAAAACTTGCTGCTATAGCTTGTTGAAAAGTTCCTTTAAGTTAGTTTTGTTGTATTTCAAATGAATTAAGACATTTGCATTAGCAAATAGACCAAAAATACTTGTGTTTTAACAGTCTGTGCATGTTTTAGAGATTTGATTGAATGGGTCTTTTATTTTAGCAATTTTAATGGATTGGAGAGGGGGAAAAAAAGCAAAGTTTGAAGAAAAAACTTTTGCTGTCATTCAGAAAGTCTGGAAACTGCCAGCATAGAGAAACACTGGCGGGAAAAAGGTCACCGTCCAACAGGAACACAAAACATGGAGCCGGAAATGCAGTTTAATGGATTCAGATCAAACTATTTTCACATTCTGGCAAAGCACCAGCAAAGTGAGATACACAATGTAGTTTGTGATTTTATTGTAAGACAAAATAGGTTAAAAATCAGTGAATATCAACACTTTTGCTTGACAATTTATAACTCAGTATTTAAATAACATATCTCAGCTAAATCCAGATGTTTGAACCTGCGGGAGAGAAAACAAAAGGTCAAAGTTACCAGAAACGCGACTAATAAAGACATAAAGTAAATCTTTCTAAGGACTCTTTTGGGGAAAAAGCTTGTCACAATAACTCATTTTTCTGGACAATAAATTATCCCTGAAGTTACTATGATAAACAATGGAGGCCATTTTCAAGTAATTTTTGGTGATAATTTAAAAACACATTGTCAAAGATCAATAAACTTCAAATTTTAATGAACATTTAACACTGGAACTGCGAGACATTTCAATAATGAAAATTATTGGGCTTGTTTTAAGTAATTATCTGATTAATTGATTTATTGCAACAGTCCCTCCTGAGAAACAACTGGAACAAAAACAATATCTCCACCTGTTTGCCCTCAAACACCAAATTAATCTTGAAGCTCACCGCCTGCTGCGTTTTTCGTCTTTTCTCAGAGCGTGGTGTGCGGACACGGCACTCGCTACAGGAACCTGTCCTGCTTCGTGTCGGACGGGTCCGGCGCCGGCGAGAGCAGCATGGCGGACGAGGAGCTGTGCAGCAGCCTGGAGCTGGCCGTCGACGGAGACAAGAAGGTGGTGCTGAAAGAGGCGTGTGTCCTCCCATGTCCAGGTAGCAAATCACTCCTCAGATATGGATCCTGTCACTAATTAGTATCGTTAGTGTGGTTACATTTATTATGCTGACGATTAATCGAATAAGAAAAAGTCACATTCTGCTGTTTTTCCTTTTTTATTCAACCACTTAAGAGTTTTTATTAAAAAATGCAAATACACAAACGAACCTCTTTGTTTTTTTAAATAAGAAAGGAAACATTTTATTGCCCAGATTGTAACAGCATCATTTATTTATTTGGTTGCTAGGTAACAGGCTGGGCTCTGGTGGGGTTGCTAGGTAACGGGGCAGCGCCTGTTACAGTCCTAAGGTTTTTAAAACAACTTTATTTCCAGAAACCAAAAAGAACTTGTTGCTAAAAACAAGTTTTGTTTTGTTTTTTGAAGCAGTCGAGACCCAAATGGAAGCACAAAAATGTGAAAAACGTAAATTTTACATGATGGATTCCCTTTTAAAATAGTTTAACCACTGAATAAATTGCTATTCATGATGTCTAACGCTAGAAGTGAAAGCAGAGCTACAGGCAGAATAAGCTAAATAAATTGCAATAGGCCTTCTCAGCGCTTTCGCTGCTTGGGCCTAATTATCATTTAATCCACTCAACAGCTGATCATGTTTTGCCTGATCAGGCCACCTTCTCATGTCGTTTTGCAATATTTTAAATCATGACGTCTATATATATTTGGCTCAATTACTCCCAGTTTTTGTCACATCCTCTTGCTGAACTCGTCGCGTTTGAATTGGTTGAAACGCAGCCTGTCACCTGGCAGTGAGCCGCCCATGAAAGGTGTGAAACACACCCAGGTGTTCGCTTGGTCTGACGGTTCCTCACAGGTCTCCTCGCAGCAGACACTGTTAGTGTGCCGAGGTGTCCTGCCGCGCCAGGGGCGCCACTCTGAATAGATGTGGGTTTTTTTGTTCTTTTTAGTTTCATGTGGAAGTTACTGAACACTGAGAAAACCCCTGAGATGTAAATCTAAAAGTGGAAATATTTGAATTTTAATTGGCTCCGTTCTGGCAGGAAATGTATATGAAGCCATACAAACCATAAAAATCTAAAGGTTTCCCATTACCAAAGTATTGCATAGATTAATAAAAGCAAAGAAACTTTCACTTTGGATGGATTTTACCATGGATTACTAGGCTACTGACGGAAGCTAATCCCATAAATTTTCCATTGAATCTGAAAGTGGAAAGAATATTTCACCTTAGGTAGAAATCGTCTATGATTTCTGACGGATGAATCAAAAATAATGTTTCAAATTGTAATCGTATAGTCAATGAGCACACACAGAAATTCAAAAAGACTTGGAAATGGCTAACAGTTTGTCCCATGAAAATAATAATAACTGCACAAAACTCCACTGCTGAAGAAAAAGGGAGTAAAACCTTGGATTTCATTCCACAATGTTCGAAGGAAGAGAGGTTATGCCATGTAATTAAATCTGACATTTAGTTATATAGCAAATTTCATATAACTAAACAAAGGATGAAATAAATATGTCAATAGAAATATTACTAATAGACTTACTGAGGAAAATTGCCGTAGTTCCATTACTATTTAAATCATGTTTACAGACAAACGTTTTCATAGAAGAGCTTGTGGAGTTAATCCCATGTCTTGTTCCTCTGATGGGTAAACTATGTTTCCACGTTCTGGCTGCTGATGTCTGTTGAAACCTTAATTTGCATTCTCCAGGTGATGCCAGGTAAACACGAGCTCTGTGAGATCGCTAAAATGGCCGCTTCCCGCTGGCTCTTCCTTGGTTTTTTGCTGATCCTCAAAGATGCTTGAAAAGGGAGTCTTATATTTGCACTTTGAGTTTGTAAGGTATGCATCTAAAACATTAAGGGCGAGACGTTGGGCTGAAGATGAATTTTTGTGGAAAAGATTTTAGTTCTTTTACTGCATTGCAGCTGCTTGTCGTTCCAGTTCAAGAAAACAAGTAAACAGACTTTTGATGTTTGAACCCCATTGTGACACACAGTTTGAGTTTTCATCCCTGTTAAGAAACAAAATAACACAACGGGAGCAGTTATACAATAAATCTATAAAAAGAACAAATATGCATAAACTTGTATACCATACAGAAGGAATTTAAAATAAGAATACATTAGAGAAGTTTCTGAATTATATTATTAAAGAATGTTATGTTGTCATGTGCAGACTAAAGTCAAACAGGGACATATTTCTTATTAAATTTATAGCTACAGTTGCGTATATCTTTGGAAATTCCATTCAAGTGAAAGAAGTGCTTTAAAAATTCATAAACTTAGCCAGTGATTAGAAGAAGCAGGTAGAAGAAGAAAGGCAGAGCAGACGACTACATCGGAGAAAAGACTTTAAAATACTTCTGTTACTTTATAAATCACCGAACAGCTTCGGAGTTCCTTAAAGATTAGTTTCTGCTGAATCAACTATCCAGACCACTCAGGTCGGTTGGTTCTGGTCTGCTTTGAGTCCAAAGAACCAAAACCGAAGCCACCAAGAATAACTGCCTTGTTCCTGAAATGTGCTAAACAAATAAACTTGACTAAATTTGACTTTTGGGAATGCAGCATCTGTTGAAATGAAAAACTCTTGTCATGTTCCAAAGGGTTTTTTTTGTTTTGTTTTGTTTTTTTTGCCTAATCTGAAATGTGCGTAGCAGGTGACAGAGGGAAGCTCAAAGCAGCGCATCTCTGCAGGAGCAAAGCTGCGCGCCGCGCACAGGAAATGTGTCAGTGTGCCATGTGTCGACACATTTTCAGCATGAGTTGTCCCAGTGGGCGACAAACCCACAAACCTGGCAACGCCGGTCCACAATCGACCGGTACAGGATGCCCTTTTTTGTTTTTTATTTCGGTCACTGATCAGGTCCCGGCTCAGCCTGCAGGCTATGAAGGACATCTGTTCTGATTTTTATGATTTATGACTGGTAAATAAATTGATGTGCAGCACAAACTTGCTATTTTGAGCCTATATTTTCCAAATTCAAGAACACAAGCCAAACCATTTGTAAAACAATCATGCACTTAGAATCTTCTGCAACTAAGTGAGGGAAAACTAAAAAACATTACTTTACTGTCATTGCACAAAGACACAACAGGGAATTTAGCAATGAAATGCTGTTGCCTGGCCACTGGAGTACAGAGAAAATAATGAGAAACTGTAAGTTTCACTGTAAATTCACGTAGATGAAAGTGTTACTAGTTGCAAGTAAGGGGGAAAAAAATCTAGAACGAATATATAAATATCACCAAATATATTTAACTTAGCCTTTTTAAAGTCTTATAATATTAACACTTCCTACTTTTTTTAAGACGTATTTATATTTTTTCATTCACTGGTTAAGAAGAAAATGTCTAAAAACTAATTACATAATTTATTTGCTAAATGCAACTTGACATCTCATTAAACTTGTTCCTCATGTTCACAAAACGTCAAAAATCTGCAGTTAAATTAAATATCAAGCATTTTAATTTTGTCCAGCTATAGCAGACAGCTTTTCAAGTATAAATACAAACTTTAAACTTATGGTTTTAACGTGATTTTACATGTGAAACAGAGAAAGGCTGGATGGACAGATGGACTCACCGAAAGTTGGATCTTTGGATTAATGGATTGCAAAATGGTTGGTTGGTTGGATTTCAGATCTGGATGAATAGACTGGTGGCAAATATTGTCAAATATTTGACCATGTAGATATATAATGTGGAGAATGGATGAATGCATAGACTGACTGATGAGAAATATTGAAAATAAAGTCTGGAAATGCAAACATATCTTCGTGCTTTTCCTTACCCATGTTCTTCCAGATCTTAAAAATCCTTAAATCGAATTAAATCCCACTCAGGACTTTTCTACTCCATGCAGTGACTCACTTTTCACAACCGCAACATCGCTCTTTATTTCCCAAAAACTGCTGCTGATAGAGAAGGAGACATTTCTTTTGCTAAATGGGCCAAATCTGCTCCATTTCTAAACAACACGAAAGGAATTTATCCCCTAGTTTATGATCCAGCCGGATAAAAACTGTGTATTTCCACATAGTGCTGCTTAACTATAGAGCTGTTATTTTCAGTGTCAGCAGTCCCTGAAGGAAGGATTATTCTTCTTTGCTTCTGCCAAAAGACAAAGTACAAATGCTGAGTTCATTTTCAAAGTGCCATGGGTCTATTTTAGGTCAGAACTCATTGTTCGTCATGCAGAAGGGAAAACAAGTTATCCTTTATTCAACCCACAGCTCATTTAAAACCACCTCCGTTTGAAATTATTTTATTTTTTACATGCTGGGAGTGTTTCCACTGATGAATTTCTCATATTGGTTTAAAAAAAAACTTAACTACTTCTCCCAGAGATGGGAAACGCTGAGAAGCTGCCCTAGATAACAAGTGGGTCCGTCCCTTCGCAGCCAAACTGCAGGAGTGCTGAAGCATCAAACTGCAATCTAAAACCCAGACAGTTTTCTGCACAAGGATTGTGAATCAGGGAAAAAGAAAATGGAGCTCCTTTTTTTAGTGCATAGCTGGGGGTTAGTCTGGGAACTAAAGCAAACTCACACAAACAAATACAGTTCCTTTGCATGTTGGTGCATCAACCCATGTGCTGGAGGAAACCCTCCAGAGTTTGATGATGAGCTGCAGATGTCAAGTCAAAGTTTATTTATATAAAACATTTACAACAGCCTCAGTCGACAAGAGATGCACAACATCAGAGAGATCAATGATAAAACAAGAACATTTAATGAAAACCAACACATATTTAATTTCAGCAACAGCAAACTGTTTTTTTTGTTTTGTTTTTTTTCACAAAAGCAATTTGAGTCAGTGAGGTTCCAGTACCACGTCTGAAGTAAAATAACTGCTGATTTTCCAAATCAAATGTTAAGAGCAGATAATTTGCAACTTTTAAAAGTGTTGCTTTGACGAAACTGAAACAGTTTTTAATGGCCAACACCTACACCAAAGATGCACTGCAGAAATATTCGACTTTAGCTGATAAACCATTGAAATAAAAATACTTTGGAGGAAATGTAAACATTAATCTTTTTGCGCCTCTTTTTTTCTGATTATGAATTTTTTTTAATTTTTGTTGCTTCAGTTCTGAAATACAACAGATGTTTTGTGTGGTCTTACACACTCTGTGCTATAACACACTGTGCTATAACACTCTGTACTATAACACACTGTGTTATAACACTCTGTGCTATAACACACTGTGCTATAACACTCTGTGCTATAACACTCTGTACTATAACACACTGTGTTATAACACTCTGTGCTATAACACACTGTGTTATAACACTCTGTGCTATAACACACTGTGCTATAACACTCTGTGCTATAACACTGTGTTATAACACTGTGTTAAACACACTGTGCTATAACACACTGTGTTATAACACTCTGTGCTATAACACACTGTGTTATAACACTCTGTACTATAACACACTGTGTTATAACACTCTGTGCTATAACACACTGTGCTATAACACTCTGTGCTATAACACTGTGTTATAACACACTGTGCTATAACACTCTGTACTATAACACACTGTGTTATAACACACTGTGTTATAACACTCTGTGTTATAACACTCTGTGCTATAACACACTGTGTTATAACACTCTGTGTTATAACACTCTGTGCTATAACACTGTGCTATAACACTCTGTACTATAACACACTGTGCTATAACACTCTGTACTATAACACACTGTGCTATAACACACTGTGTTATAACACTCTGTACTATAACACTCTGGGTTATAACACTCTGTGCTATAACACACTGTGCTATAACACTCTGTGCTATAACACTCTGTACTATAACACACTGTGTTATAACACACTGTGTTATAACACTCTGTGTTATAACACACTATGCTATAACACTCTGTACTATAACACACTGTGTTATAACACTCTGTGCTATAACACACTGTGCTATAACACTCTGTACTATAACACACTGTGTTATAACACACTGTGTTATAACACTCTGTGCTATAACACTCTGTGCTATAACACACTGTGTTATAACACTCTGTACTATAACACTCTGTGTTATAACACTCTGTGCTATAACACACTGTGCTATAACACTCTGTACTATAACACACTGTGTTATAACACTCTGTACTATAACACACTGTGCTATAACACTCTGTTCTATAACACTCTGTGTTATAACACTGTACTATAACACACTGTGCTATAACACTCTGTGCTATAACACTCTGTGCTATAACACTCTGTGCTATAACACACTGTGCTATAACACTCTGTTCTATAGCACTCTGTTCTATAGCACTCTGTGTTATAACACTCTGTGTTATAACACTCTGTGCTATAACACTCTGTGCTATAACACTCTGTGTTATAACACACTGTGCTATAAACACTGTGCTATAACACTCTGTGCTATAACACTGTGCTATAACACTCTGTGTTATAACACACTGTGCTATAACACACTGTGCTATAACACTCTGTGTTATAACAGTGTGTTATAACACTCTGTGCTATAACACTCTGTGCTATAACACTCTGTGTTATAACACACTGTGCTATAACACTCTGTGCTATAACACTCTGTGTTATAACACTCTGTGCTATAACACTCTGTGCTATAACACTCTGTGCTATAACACTCTGTGTTATATCACACTGTGCTATAACACTCTCTGTTATAACACACTGTGTTATAACACTCTGTGCTATAACACTCTGTGTTATAACACACTGTGCTATAACACACTGTGCTATAACACTCTGTGTTAACACTCTGTGCTATAACACTCTGTGTTATAACACTCTGTACTATAACACACTGTGCTATAACACTCTGTGCTATAACACTCTGTGCTATAACACTCTGTGCTATAACACACTGTGCTATAACACTCTGTGCTATAACACTCTGTGCTATAACACTCTGTGCTATAACACTCTGTGTTATAACACTCTGTGTTATAACACTCTGTGCTATAACACTCTGTGTTATAACACACTGTGCTATAACACTCTGTACTATAACACACTGTGCTATAACACTCTGTGCTATAACACTCTGTGCTATAACACTCTGTGCTATAACACTCTGTGCTATAACACTCTGTGTTATAACACTCTGCTATAACACTCTGTGTTATAACACTCTGTGCTATAACACTGTGTTATAACACTCTGTGCTATAACACACTGTGCTATAACACTGTGTTATAACACTCTGTGCTATAACACTGTGTTATAACACTCTGTGTTATAACACTCTGTGTTATAACACTCTGTGTTATAACACTCTGTGCTATAACACTCTGTGCTATAACACTCTGTCATTACCTTGTTCCCCAACATTTTATGCAGCAGATGGTCAAATCAGAGAATAGATGCGTCTAAATATGTAATTTATTACTAGAATGATAAACATGTTTGTTTTGCAGCAAAAGGTTTGGAATGGCTGTGAATAACTATTAATAAAAGCCAAAGAAAGTTATAAAATTAGTCATTTAGACCAATATTACTACCTGATTCTGAAGAAATGAGAGCCAGATGTTTTTTAGTCTCAATTATTTCTTTATGAATACCTGCCTGATGAAAACCTAGGTATTAAATACAACAAATAAAATATCCCGTCTCTCTTGTGGTGCAGGCGAATGCTACCTGATGGAGTGGTCTGACTGGAGCTCATGTGTCAGCATCTGTGTGAAAGGAGCCGGCGTGGACTTCGGCTCCGTTCAGGTCCGGTCCCGAGCCGTCCTGGCCCAGGAGCCTGAAAACCTGCAGCTGTGTCCAGACCAGGCTTGGGAGTCGCAGCCCTGCACAGGTACGAATCCTTTTCTCTGCGCTGGTCACAAGGCTTGAGAGGTGAAGGAAAACTTGACTTGTAGCTTTCTAAATGTAACCATGGATCTGCTAAAGATGCTTCAGTGATGCAGCCTTTTGACCTTAGGGTCATTAATTTGCATTTGAAAGAAATATGTCATTGTATGGAATAATTAAATATGCAATACCTTAAAACTTCTGGCTAAAAATTACCGGCTGTCTTTTAACAAAGAGTTCATGTTTGAAAAATCATCGGAAATTTAACGTCAGAAATCAGCAGCCCGTTACCTAGCAACCCCAGCCCGTTACCTAGCAACCCCAGCCAAGTTCCTTCCGTCACCTTGGCAACCAAAATGGCTGCTGAAAAAGACGAGTGTTTTATTGCTGACGTACCACTGGAAACCATTCGCTGTGTCCTCCTTGGCTCTGGTTTGTAAAATGTACTGTGGTATAATTTGCAGCCAGTTTCATAGTGCGAGTGTAAACGTTGAGTTGGGGGCGTGGCCAGCAGGAGATTATTTGGATTTAAAGTGAAAGGATCCCAAAATCAAAACTGAGCATCATCTAAGAATTATTTTATGCAAAAATGTAATGAGCATCTTTTTATTCCATTGCCCGGCGGTGCCTGAAGTCGGTCCTCAGGCGGCTGGCATAGATCGGAAATTTTAACACGATGTGCCACAATGATGCACTACACACAGGAAAGTACACTGGATTTGGAGTTTGGTCCTCAAAAAAATAAAGATAGGTAAGAAATACAAAACGAACACCGATACTTCACTAAAAGAAGAACAGGAAATGATATGTTGGAGGGCAAACGATGGATCGACATGTTGAGGTTAGTTCTCTCCCTGGTTTAATGCTCCTGGACCAAATGGTGGCTCGTTAGAAGGCCTAAGAAAAACACCGACATGCTGAAAGGTTGTTGGTACCTCCAGGGAGAGAAAGGTGCAGGATGCCGGCCCTCCAGGACCGACTTCCATAGACCTTTCCTAACCTGTTCCAGGAAGCATAAAGCATGCGAATGCAGGCAGCGGTGGCCACTAATGAAAAAAGGTTTTCCTCAATTCACAACTTATGTAATAAGCAAGAAAACAGTCAAGTTTGAAGTTGGCTATTTTGACTTTAACTGAGTTGAAGTCAGTTGCATGTTGAAGTTTGTCAATGCATCAGAGGGCAGGGTCACACCTGCAGGCCGTTCTCTCTTCTTTTTCTCTGAACCTGCATGCTGGAGGAATCTGGGACACCAGAAGAAGCCAACAGAAAAAAAAAAAACATGTTCATTTTGTGCTCAAGACTGGATTCAGTCTGAGGGGTTTTTTTTCCTCGCCGGGAGGCAGCAGCGCTATCCGGGAGTGCAGCTTTTGGTACTTTGCCCCAGATATGACCGGGACAAATGGAAAAGCTCTCACCTTGTTTTCCCTCTGCTCGGTGGGTTAACTGGTGGTTCTCCAGATGGGGCTTTTTGCATGAGATCTCCAAATTGAGGAAATGCTGTTGTGATCTCTGCCGCCTGGTGTTGATGAGCTGTGAATCATCAGCTGCCATAGGTTAGGTCTGCAGAACGAAACCCACTCCCCCACCCTGGCATCTCACTCCTCCACACTTCCCTCCTTGGCTACTGTACACAGCTCCAAAGCGCCTCCGCCATCCTGACCTGATTTCACAGCATCACTCAATGCCCGCAGGGGGGAGGAGAGCCCCTGCCAAGATGAGTGGGGGGGCAAAAGGAGGGAAAAAGTGGTTTGATGGGATGCTCACTTAAGAAAAACAGAGGCAAAGCTTTGTCCCTTTTGGATACTTTTACCGTATTAATTCCTTCCACGGTTTGCAGCACAACAAGAATAGCAGATCAGTGTTTTCACAACTTCAGCACTAGAAAAAGCTCCTCACAGCTGGAAGAAATATAAAAACTTCCGATGGTTCAGTGACAACAAAGTAAAGAAGCTGCAGGATGTAACTTTTATAAAGAAAAAATGCTTTTAACATTTTGTTAAAATTATAGTTTGGTCGTGACAATACAAGACACATAATCTGTTCAAAGAAATCTAGTTCCTCTGAATTTCCCCAGCATAAACTGCATAAATACTCCACTGAGTCAGAAACAACCAATCAGAGCCAGGAGCAGGGTGCTGTCAATCATGCATGTGTATGTGCTGCTAAATGTGACAGTGGCAGAGAAACAACCTACCGTTACAGAGAAATTGTTTATTCACAGTCATTGTTGGGAAGCAGACATGGACAAACTAAGGATAATTTAGAGTGAACAATTAACAATTAACCAGATTTATTGTGATTATTAAAATAATCATCATCATTATTAAAAATCATTATCAATTAATTGATTAATTGTGAGTATACAGACTCAAGAAAAGGTCAATACTGCAGACTCCATGCAGAAGGACAGTAGGTTGGGTTTTGAAACTGTAACAAAATGTTTGTCGACCAAAATCACCATATTTCATGTTTCTTTGCCCGTTAAGAGTTTTCCTTGTCTCCAGCCACCTTACTCACGTTTATACTGCCTCTACTGCTTCGTTTTGAGGAATGTTCTTGTCTCAGTAAACCTCTAATCTGTTGGTGAAAGGTGCTGGCAAGTGAGTAAATCAGTGATAACTTCACATGTCTGAGAAACGACTCCATCTGTAGAGGAAGGAGAAAAATTGGAGAAATGAGGAAAGTGAAGCACATTATGGATGAAGTTGTGTCGGTTTTAGACAAATCGTCCTGTGAAAGCAGGAGACGGAGTCGAGCTGAAGCAGCGATGCCGTTTTCAGCCCTGCACACAGCAGATCTTTCTTTTGTTCAAAGTTAAACTATTCATTTACGCCACTAAATTGGCTGCAAAGATGATTGGCTACTCTGGACTCCAGAGGGAAATACAGTCATTTACTGCCTAGATGGAGATATTGATAAAGTTATAATAGCATTGATAGAAAGTCATTTAGCAAAAGCTCTCAGTGAAGATTAAAACCTTGAACTGGACAATATGTGGCAGCTACTTATTATGTGAAAATAAGTGAGCTGCTGCTTTATTAATCTGTCACACATATGATTAATGGTCTTGACTCCCAACTGTAACTGCGCTGCGGTTTTAAAGACTTTTTCTGTGTTTTGTTTGCAGGAGGCGAATGTTTCGAGTATAAGTGGTTCAGCAGCGGCCGTCCGAACTCCAGCCGTCCGGTTGCCTGGTGTCAGCGCTCGGATGGACTCAACGTCACCGGTAACAGAGTCTGGGTTTCACACACTTAGAAATATTCAGTCTGCAACGCACTGAGGATGTAACGGGGGAAAAAACATTTTATAACATTCAGATTCATCACTTGTGTCAGTACACTCACTGTGGCATCAACTATTATTTTGGTCAGAAATAAAATGTTTTGTTTTCTCATTTGGGCTGTAGGCAAAGAACAAAGATTTGAAGATGAGGAAGATCCTCTAAAACTTTAATTCTTTGTTTTTTGCTGCACGTTTCTTCAGGAAATCATCCCAAATTGTAAAAGAAAGGACATATTGTTTCAATGTATTGATACAAGTAACTGAACTTACTGTTTCTGTAAAACCCTGAAGTTTGTTTTGGAGTGACGCGCCATAAATAACCGCGAGTAAATTAAATTTTTAACAGTGGAGTAATAATTTCAGTGGAACTAAACTCCGTTTGGATTAAAGTGAACAGAATAAATCCAGCAGGTGTCAAAGAGAAACCAGATGTTCCTCACGTCCCCTTTCAGACATGGTGTTTTATCATCGTTAGTTCCTGATGTCGTGTATTTTCCACTTTGCTCTCCAGCTGAAGGTTTGAGTCAACAATAAACAATGAGAACGACTGCATGCCAACGTTTATAAATACTTGCATTTCTGCACAATTTCCAAATCTCTCTGTCAAAAAATGGAAGCATAAATATGGCACAGTATTCTGAATACCTTGAAGCAAATGAAAGTGGAGCTGTAACAAGAAAAGGGAAAGAGCTTTGGTGTATTTAGGGGAGATACTGGTTGGAATAGATGAAGACGCATTTCCATACAGTGTTTTGAATAATAGATAGCGCTGCCGAATTTATCTTTCAAAGGTGAGAAACTGCAGCAGCTCTAAGGCTCAACAAGTATAAACCACTGGTGGCAGTTTCACGTAGGAGGTGAAATTAACACAAAATGTCAAAAATACAACAGAAAAAAAGAAATCTGAGCAACTAGAGACTTTGTTTGTTTCTACAGGGAATGTAGGTGGTGGGTGATGGCAGCTATTATCTCATGAATAATACATCAGCCTGTTTTTGCTCACCTAAAACTGATGAAAAAACAAACAAGGCCGCAATATTCTCTGCTTAATTTACAGATGAATCTACAGGCTATACTATGAAAGGACATTTAAGGTGACCTATTATGCTTCCGTTAACAGGTTGGGATAGTTTTATGGGAGATAATAAAACATATTGATTACATTTTTACACAAAGTCATTTAGATGAAGAGATTTTCTCCTTTCAGAATGACCTATTTTAGTGCTCTGTCAGTTGCTGCTGGCCACACTCTCATCTCAGGGTTTACACTTTCATGTGAAAATGGCTGCCAACAGATTTAAACGGATATGCAATTATACAACCATACTTGTTTGAAAAGCATTAGTAGAGCCTCCTGCATAACCAACAAGAATACACCAAGTTGTTTCTGGATGGTAAGTCGACAACAAAACACTTATCCAGGAGCCATTGTACGCTGTGGTAAAATCAGCTGACCAAACATGCTGGAGCTCGGCTGGGGTTGCTAGGTAACGGTGCTGTCCTGTTGATTGGGACTTAACAATCAGGAGGTTTTTGAAACAGCTCAATTTCCAAACACCAAAAAATCCACCGCAGTTTTTTGGTAACAAATTAATGTTTTTCAAAGCACTTGTTTATGGAAGTTGAGACCCAGATGAAGGTATAAAAATATGACCTGAGCCGTTTCATCTCCCGACTCTGCAGGTGGTTGTCCTGCAATGAATCCTCCAGTGGACAACAGCTCCTGTGACCCTCCCTGTCTCATGACGAAGTCTTTCTGTAGCGAGGTAAGCCTTTCTAATTCTGAAATTTAAGTAAAGAAAATAGAGTCCACAGTGGCTGAATGTGAAGGTGCAGGTGACCTTGTTTCGCTGTGACACTCTGCTGACAAGATTGAATCTGAATGAAGCGGAAAAGTAAATGTTAGCAGCACGAACAGATGAAACCCGTTTCGCTGGTGTGCGTTGTCAGAATCAGGAAGTAACTTTTTTTTGTCCTCAATGGCAAATCTTTAGAGACAAATGTAATGAGTCAATTAAAACTGATTGTAAGGATTGCAACCTAAACGGAGCAAGATGAGAGTTTAGATTTAGAGAAGTAGAAATATTGTTCACACTCCGATTTAGTCGCCTTAAAACCAGAAACTTCAATGCATTTTGGAGAGATTTGCTTTTACCAGTCGGAGGAGATAATTGATACGTTTCTGATTTTACTTATAGAGGGAAAAAAAAACCCAACTAATTTGTCCTCAGTTTAATTTATTATTCAGGGTTTCCTTCAGTGTATCATCAGCCTGGCGGGCCTCCAGGCTTTACTTGCTCCCCTACAGGCTGAGGGTCGTTTATTTATTCATTTTAAATGATTATTTGTAATACAGAGATGGTTTATAAACAATAAAACATTAGTAATCTTTAATAATTGCTCCGCTTGTTTCATTGTGATTAAATTAGACAGTCCCATCTCCTCTGGGTTTTACATGTAAACTTTTAATTTCAGGTTTTAGTTGGATTATATTGTTGTTCTTCTAAGTGTTAAATAAATATTTACATAGACAAGATTCTTTTTATTTAAATATGTTACCAAACAATAAGATAATCGTCCACACTAGGTGGAAGTGCTTCCACCTTCATCCTCATCCCCAGTAACTCTAAACTTGCGTCGCGCTGCCCCCTGCAGGCCGGGATGTGCATGTGCGAGGAGGGCTTCACAGAGCTCCTGTCGCCTGCGGGTCAGCTGGACCAGTGCGCCCCAATCCCAGTCCTGGAGATTCCCACTGCAGGTGACAAGAAAGGGGACGTAAAGACCAGTCGTGCCATTAACCCCACGCTGCCCACCACCATCCAACCGGGACGCACGGGCCGGACATGGTACCTGCAGCCCTACGGACCAGGTCAGTCCAGCACAGAAATTTAATTATTTATTTCTGGATAAAATAATTTCATTAGGGTTAGGGGTTAGGGTTAACCCTAGTCTTTGTTACTTTGTTGCACTAAAATAAAAACAATCTTCCCTTTGAATGCAAAGTTCAGATTCATCAGTTAAATGTTGCAGGATAACAGAGGGAGGAAAACAGATGTATGGAGGACGATTAGGACCAATAAAGTCAGAAATACTGAGATCATAGACAGCGTTGCTGAGCTTAAAGTCAGTTCTGAGATTGAAGTTAAAATCCGGAGATTAAAGCCAGAATCTCTAAATTCAGACATTTTACACTTGGTTAAGTTTTAAAATTCGTACTTTTTTCTTAAAAAAAAGAAGAAGAAAAAATAGGAATACTGAGAAATTCCTATATTTTCACAAATATATGTATTTTTTGGTTCGTGGTGCTAATCTTTTCCATTCATAAGCGTAGATTTTAAGATTTTACATAAAATAAAATCCATTCTTGAATCCACCTGATCAAGAAAAATACTATCAAAATAATGTTAATAATAAGTTATAATAAAGTTCATAACTTCCTCCTGCAGTAAAATATTTTGTCTTTTATCTTCTTAGCACATAAATGAGAAAATTCCGTATTTGCGAAGCAGGACGTGAGTTGGCTCAGAGGCTTGGTGCTGAAAGTCGACATATTTACACTTTCTGCGGTGCAATCGTAAAATCTGAAACATGAATAAACGCACGGATGGAGCCGACAACCGCATGCTGCTGCTGGAACATTAACTTTAGAGAAATATATCTGCAAATCTTCCTCACAAATCATCTGTGGCAGGAAGAGAAACCTTCAGGATGAAGGAGCTCACAGACATTAACCTCAGCTTCCTTTAGCTCCCGAGTTACAGAGACAAATCTAAAAATGGAGGCAGAAACAGAAAGTCCCAAAGATAAACAAACATTTTATTTTGACCATATAGCAGATGGATTTACTGATTTATCTAGTTTGTTGATTTTCACTCTGACCCATACAGCCTGAGATCTGCTTCTGCTCTGTCAATTAAAATGTTTTCTTCATTAATTATTCTAATTGTATGAATAAAAATGCAGAAATACTACAGATTGGAGATATGGAGGCATAAAGATTAAATCTGTGTGTACATATTGATAATCAGATTTATGAGGTCACACTGACATTTTAATGTTTCATATCATTATAGAGGAGGAAATTATTCACTCATTCATCAATACTAAATTACATTCTTCCCTCTGTCAGCCTTAATTTGATGTTTTTTCTGAGTATAAAGCTGTTATTTTTAATATTTATTTTCCAATGACTTTGATATATACATATGGTATTGCCATAAAAGATTTAATGTCATAAAACATTTTGTTTGAATTTGTAGAGGTAGAAAAATATACATTGATTCTATATTATAATGCTAATAAATCCTTTGATTAAAAACTTACGATTTAATTTTCACACACCTAATAACAGGACATTTTTTCTCAGTGTTTGAAGTTAAATCAGATTAAATGTTTCTTGTTTTTAGTCAGTCAGAATCACCAAAATTATTTCTATTTGCTAAATGCCAGAAAATTTAGCAATTATTTAATAACATTCATGAAACTGATTATTTTATCAGTTTTTTGTAACTTTTTATTTTCTGCTAAAGTATCTAATTTACGTTAACATGACTTGCTTGGATTGTTTCAGTGTGATAAAAATGTATTATTGCCATTGGCTCAGTGGCTTATTGATAGGTGTAATTGAAATAAACGATAGATTATAAACAACATGATTGAAATTAGGTTTTATTTTTAAGTTAGTGTCCAAGTTTGCTGACTTGTATCATACTGTGACAACATGATGACGGTTTTAAAACATTTTTATAAAAGTTACATACTGAAAAAAATTGTTTTCCCAGATTTGTGATTGACAGTAGGAGCTAACTTTGCTGATTGTGATGTAATCTTAATCTGTGCCATCAAAGTAGGAGATTAAGAACTGACCAGCGTCCTTCTCCACAGATGGGAAGCTGAAGATGTGGGTGTACGGTGTAGCAGCAGGAGCCTTTGTTCTCCTCATTTTCATAGTGTCTATGATATACCTAGCTTGGTGAGTTGATAAGTTTGATCTCCCCATAGTCATCATCATCGTCATCATCACCCGAGTCCTGAAACGAAACCCGTCTCAATACCACCCATCCCTCCCACTTTGAGTTGCAGCATGCCCCCCTTCACGTCATCTCCATTTCTTTTGCTTTCTCATGCGTTTGCTATCGGAGAGCAGCAGCGCGTGCGTCAAGGTGCATCGCTCTCTTAAGGCCCAAGAGTCCGACGCCAACGGGTCGGCGGTGTGGATGGGCCAGAACTCTCACGAGATGATTTACACCTGTCCCGAGTGCCAAGAGCTGGCTCAGAGCAATAGTAGCTAAAGAGGATGTGGCGGGCTCAGACCCAACTCGACTCTCCCTCCACTATAAGCTCCAGCAGTCCCTCAGTTTCCCTGTGAGCTCGAAAAGTGTCCCGTGTTCTGCCTGAGAGGTTGGGTAACCGTCCAGGTGAGGAAAGCGCCAACCCAGTAGACTTCCTGTTGACCCTTTGCAACTTCGTCACAAAAATCAGTCAAGACGCCATGATGGACATCGGATTGTACTCCCAAGTTCTATTTTGCTCCATTATTCACCAGTCGGTGCTCACAGAACAAATGTCACAGGCCAACAAATTGGTGCAAAATCTCACTAATAAGTCATCTTAGTAAAATGCAACGAAACACTGCGTGATTACTACCCATTAGTATTCATGTAACCAGCATGTACGAAAATAACTAAATAGCATCTCGTCTCGGACATTTTTGTGGTTGTTCCAGTTTTAGAGGAATCACCTTTTATAATGTAGTGATATAAAACGTAAATTCAGTTAGCTGACTTTATTGTCAAAACCGCCGTCAATAAACCTCAACTAGCATTAGCATTATTGACAAAAAAAAAAAACTTGTGAAAACAATTTCACTCTCTCCACTCAACACTCCCATCCCTCGTTTCCAACATCATGGCGGCGCCCTGCGTGGTTGACGCAATTGCAAAGGTCAAGATATCAGGTGTGCTGTCATCGAAGGCTAATATCCTCCAACACACATAAATCAACTGATTACCATTTCAAAGTTGTGGGATAGTAGCTCTCCTTGACTAGACGTAGATTATAGTTGTTGTAGATCCTAATAATCTCCAATTGTTTAGGAGTGAAGATAATCCGGATGCTTCATATCCAACAACTTTCACTCATTAGAGGTGTTTGATAGTCTGATTTAGCCAGAAATAGGAGGTTGTTCCTTATTATTGATACTTATAAGTACGAGTTATAAGTGAAATAATCCAGTGGAACAAGACATTTAATGTCTTACATATCCAGATTTATTTTAAAATCTGCCATCTGGCCAACCTACAGTAGAGGTGCTATTAGTAACTGAAGCACGGTGTCAGCCTGCCCTCTTGTGGCCAAATGAAGAATTGCACCTGACTCTTAAGTTCCTGTCAAAGAAATCACATAATTTCCTTAACCATCTACGGTTCGTTAGTTTTAATTATTTCAAAATGAGAACTTGTCACTCATAATTATTTGATATTGTTTTCAACTTAACTAACATTGGCTGTTTGTTTTTTTTAAGTTAAATTAAAAACAGTTTAATTATTTGCTGAAGAAGAAAACTATTCAGTCGAGGAGAGATTGTTTAAAATGCTGTGAGTTGCATCACATTGGAGAAAAGTTTTGAAAGAAACTTTAGAATAAAGATTTCAAGAAACAGAAAACTAAATATTATATGTTCTGTCATTGTAAGCTGTCCTTTGGAGGATAAATTTACACCGTATTACTCTGAGATATGAATCCTTCAGAGCTGACAGCCCAGATAAATGGCAGGAATCATGTCTTTAACTCCTCCTCAGGTCTTTTTCTCCCAGGAGGCAAAGGGAGCAGACGTAGCATGTGTGCAGGTTTTGCATGCAAATTAACTTCATACCTTTAAAGCTTTTATACAGATCCTTGTGATTCTTCTGAGGCCCGTCATCCAGTTCTTATAAAACTTTAATTTAGAAGCCAAAATTATTATTTTTACATCTTCCCTTTAAGTACGCTCTTATTTTGTTACACCTACCATCTAAACTTACTATTTCTCTATTTCCCTCTGTTTTTTTTATCCATCACTCCCAAATTTTACTAAACTTGAGGTTTGGGAGAATTGGCAGCATAACTTTGGTAATTTTATTTTAACTTTAGGTGATAAATGCTTCCTTTTTTGTGATTTTTAGTACCCATATTCAAAGAACCAACCTCATAATAAGTACATGTTTGGTATGTCACCAGTTAGCCAATCGCTGCTTTTCTGTTTACCATAAAATTGCGCAAATTGAAATCACAAAAATAAATGTTCTCAATAGAAATGCCTATTTTTGGAAGGAAAAAATAGGTTTTCACATGATAAGAGGCACATTTCTGTTACTACTGGCAGAAATGCCAAAGAAGACAAAGAAGTGGTAGTAAGGTGGTAGTTTGTTTTTTTTAGTCTGGCTCCACCAGTTCATAAAAAGTTGTGTGTCATTCTAACGTGTTGAATTCAAAGCTTTCAACCTACAATTTTTCCAAAACGACACTCCCAAGTAAAAGAAGTTTGCTGCTCTTAACTCCTTTTCGTCTCCTCTGATTGACTGATCAACGACAACGCTGAATTATGAATATATCTCATGTAACTGTTTACATCTGTCGCTGGCACAATTTTTAGTTACTTATGGCATGGACAAGCTTATTCATGTATGATTTTTAATTTTATTTATTATTTAGTGGAAATGCCACAATTACAAAATTTTGGGGGGTCATTAGTTGTGCACTTTGCACTTGTCACATCATCTGCACTTTGCCATAATTGGACCTGCTGATTCTTCTTTAGTGTGGTTGAAGTGCCTTTTAGTTAATTTTAGTTGTATATATTGTTATTATTGTGTGTTTATTTCATTTATTGTATATATTTGACTTTTTGCACGGGAGTTGCAATGAAAATTTTGTTGAATCAATAAATGCAATCTATCTATCTATCTATCTATCTATCTATCTATCTATCTATCTATCTATCTATCTATCTATCTATCTATCTATCTATCTATCTATCTATCTATCTATCTATCTATCTATCTATCTATCTATCTATCTATCTATCTATCTATCTGCAAGGCAGGCAAGTTCAGGATTTATCATTTGAGATTAGCTTCCCATCAGTGACTTCCCCCTCTATTTTATTTTTTTATTTCATTCCCATCCTCATTTGCTTGACACATTTTGTCAGAATGTCATCGTGTTTGAGGCTTCGTCGTTTTAACTTCCGTCTCAATCTTTCGTCTCCCAGCAAAAAGCCAAAGAGACCTCAGAGACAGAGGCAGCAGAACAACCGGCTCAAGCCGCTAACGCTCGCCTACGACGGAGACACGGACATGTAGAGCCGCTCCATCTGTCACACAGACCCCTCCATGACAGCGAGCGATGTTTGCAGCGTGAATGGACTCACTTTATTCCAATTTGATTTTCCTTAACTAAAACCTTCATGACCTCCAGTTTGCTCAATGAAATGCCTTTTATTTTTAAACTGAGAGTCTCCAACTCTTTCACCCCCGCGCTTTCCTGAAAACGCTGACTAGCTGGAGGCTTTGGACGCTCTGACGGTTTGTATGTTGCCAAAAGTCACTGCAGGGAAGAAGAGGAGGAGGGAGAGGAAAATCTCCATCAAAAGGTTTGGATTCCTTTTCTTCCCTCAATCCTCAGCTGGGTTTTGACTCAAATCTGTTTTTTTTTCCCCAGTCTTTTTTATTTCTGCTTGATTCAGAGGCCTGTGTTTGTGGGATAAACTGATCGGCGGCCTTCACCCTCGCTTTGTTTCAGGCGCTACATTGCACTATATTAGTGCAGAATGATATGCACACGTGACTTCTACCTTTTATTGCCATAAAACACTCCCTCTTCCACAAACACAACAAATGGGAAACAACCGGAGAGACCCACAGTAAATATCTGTATAGGTTTCATTTCTCAGTTTGTTTGTTTTTGGTTGTAGTAAATCTTTTTGTGGTTTGTAGATTTCGTCAGGTGTTTTGTTTTGGTTTTTTCCCCTCAGATGTAAGTATGAGCATTTTATAAATCAAATAAATTAATTTTCTTGCAGTTAAGCTGAACTGAAACGCGTCCCGGAGAGAAACAAGCCATTCATGTCATGCAAACATCATTTCTGCCTTACTGGTAACCAATCTACTGCTCTTAATATTTGATCTGGCAAATATTAAACACAACAGAACAAGCAGACAAAAAAACGTAAAATGCTCCAATCTCACTGCGATGAGATAATATACATATATATAAATATATACATATAAATAAAATACACTGTACAGACGAACTATACAATATGTTAATAATAAGAATATGCCTCTGACTTCAGTGTAAAAGCAAACTGGTGTGGAGAATGTTTACTTTTTTTTGTGAAATTTGTAAATAATGACTTTTTTATTTTTTGAAAAAAAAAAAAATCTAAAGTATGTGTAAATTTATTTTGTATCGCACAGAAAATGTTACTTTGAATATTGCGAAGTGGGTGTATGATATTGCTGATTGTTGTTACTATGATGCAAGTTGTATGTTGTGACAAAGAAAACAAACAAAAAAATAACCAGAGGGGAAGAAAAAGAGAAATACGAAGAACTGGTTGTTTTGTACAGGATGTTCATATATGGAAAGAATTACTGAAAATAAACGCGGACACGGCTGCAAACACAAACATATTGCGATGGAGTCATTTCTAAAGTCTCACCAGTCTGCAACACTGCTAAATAGATCATAGATGTGTTTATAAATCATTTATTACTGTTTATTATGCAATAATTAAGGGTGCAAAGGAGACAAATCTTCTAGTTATATCTAAAGGTATTACAGTAAACATTTCTGACGACTTTGTTAAAACAATAACAAACATAGTTTTTCAGTATATAATTTCCTTCTTAGCTGTAGTTAATGCATAATAAACAGCGTTTAGAGATTAACATAATTTACTGTTAAATGAAACAGTAACGGTCTGATTTACAGCTCAACCACTAGGTGTCACTGTCCTGCAGCAAAAGTTAAACTATAAAAGTTTATTTCTCTGCAGCAAAGTCTCACTTTAAACCGCATTTGGGTCAAAGCAGAGCTGCATCATTTCAGGAACCAACATCGCTTTTTGTTCTTCCAACACATTACCAAAATACCACCTCAAATTTCACTGCACTCCTGTTATATTTATTGACAATCTGCACTTAAATTACCTCTTTATGAACATTAGTACATTTTGATATTTGGTGGTTATGCTTATTGAGGCAATGCGATGACAGAAAATCTTGTATTGAGGGCTACACTGTAAAAACACATCTTACCAGTTATTTTTGTTCTAGTTTCTAGTGCAAATATTTTAGTATAGTTGAAATAAAACAAATCTTACATTTCAGCAACATTGAAACAATTCTTTAATATTGATTAAAAATATACTAGTTCTATTACATTATTTCACTTATTACATTTTTCCCACGTTATGTGGCAGTGGTTATCTGCCAGTGTAGCTAGTACTTCACCAATATTAAATAATTATTTAAAACATATTCCTATGTCTAAAAAGTTACTTTGAAGTTAGTTTTGTCTTATTTCAAGTGTGCTGAGATATTTGCACAAACTTGATCAAAAATAATTGGTAATATTTTGTTTTAGCAGCATTTAGTTTTAATTTGTTTTCTAATCCATTTAGTTTTTATTACTTAAGAGAACTGTTAGTATTTTCATACTTGGGTTAATTTTGGTTTTTGGTTACATAAATCAGGTGATGAATACCCAACAGATGACAATATTTTTATTGAAAACTGAATTTCAGTCCCAATTGTTTCTTATTTAACGGAAAAACCAAAACAACATTGTGGGGTTTTTTTTTTTTTTGGTTTGTTTTTTCAACAATAGTGAAATATTGCCTTAAGATGGTCAGTAGAACATCGGTTTGCTGCTGGATTAAATACAACCTCAATTAATCCAATTTGTTTTTTCATTACTTTAAACATTTTTCTCACAATAAACGTGATTAACTGCATTGTTAACTACAACAGATCTCAGAAGAAGCCTCAGTGTTGCTGTAGAAGTCGTAATGTTTTTGTTTTTTCTTTTTAGTGATTTTCCATGAAGTGTGTAGTTTTTTCTTTTTTTAGGAGATAACCTGCTCTGCACAAAGCAGATGGAGATTAAAAGATGCAGGCATTTCCTTGGTCGGGGAACAAAAGATGCTATCAGACTTTTCTGCCTGGTCTAACGATTTGTATCCACTTTAGATTATAATTTAGACGTTTCCCTTTCCTCCGTTTATCAGTTCAGAAGCAAACTAAGCAACATTACAGCATTAAATCTATCCTCACTGAAGAGGGTTTTCCAGGACTAATTCTGTGATGTGTCCAAAAAAATCCTTCAAACTATTTATTGTTTTTATTTTATGCAGATAATCGATGGAAATGTGGTGGAAACTAAAAGTATTTAGAGTAATTAAATCTTTTAAAACTTCAAATGTAAATGTTTTTCATTGGATTTTCAACCAAAACTAAAGCATTATTAATGTGCTTTAGTTTATTTTCTTGTTTTCATATATTTGCTCATAAATTTATGATTAAATACAGAAATATTTTTACTTGCATGTTTATCTCTGCAAGAAATCTAAAGGGGAATATTTATTTTTATTTTTGAAAAACAGTTCAAGCTGATTCACATTGGGCAGATGGTGACTGCATCTATTTTCCAGTTTTTCCAGATTCATCATTTCATTCAGACCTGGACTTTAACTAGGCCGTTCTAGAACATGCTTGAATTTTATTAATTCAGTTCAATTTACAGAAAAATATTTTATTTTTCCGTCACCTGAACAGTTTTTCTGTTCATGCTCAAAAGTATCCCCACAGCATCATGAAGTCACCACCATGTTTCCAACAACTTTAGGGTGCCAAGTGTTAGTGGGAGTTTTTTTTCAACTAATGTTGGTCCAAAAGTTACATTTTTGTACTTTCTTCTGCAATGTGTTTTGTTTCCTGAAAGGTTTGAGATTCATCAGGCTGGAGTGGCTTTGCTGTTTCCACTCTGAACAAAAACTGATGTTTGTCACTATAAACAGAAAGAAAAGAGGAGCAAATTTACACCAAAAAACTCTGAAAGTTTGAAATTAATTTTAGAACTGTTAAAGAAAAAAACGAGGTAATTGCTGAGTTTCAAAAGTTTAACATTTTAGACCTTTGAAACTTTCCTTTAATTTTTTTTTACTTTTAAATGTTATTAACTACTTGGTTGTATGTTTTTCTCAAATTTTTTTTGATTATTTTCAGTTTTTTAGATATTTTTTCAGCACATTTTTTTTAACTGTGAGCTCATATTTTTTGTTTTTTTTTCTTTTTTCTAGAAAATTACTGAGATTAAAATAAAAATCCCCAATTTTTTTTTCTAGCAAATTTTGAAAACTTCTGAGTTTGAAAAGTTTTTGTTTCTTTCTAGTATAAAAAAAGATTAATCTGAAAATTTTAAGATTTGTTTCTATCAAACTTTTGACTTTTCAGTTTTGGCAGAAATATCTTCTCTTTCTATCTAAAGTGGCTGTCGTTGAACTCCCTTGTTGCTGAAATTTGCTACACAAATAAACTTGATTTATTTGAAAGCTACATAAAAAGAAGGAAACATGGAGTCTTGTAAAATCTTCTTTCCTAGATGAAGGAGCAGAGGTCATTCCTGCTGTCCACCACTAGATGTCAGCACTCAGTGATGCAAAAAGAAAAGTTGTCTCTCAAAAATCAATACTGTGAGGCTCCCTCCCTCTTTCCACTCTGTTTCTCTCTGTCCTCCCAACTCTCTCCCTCCCGGTATAAAACATCGCTCCCCGCCAACAATCAGACGTGAAAACGCCTCCGTTGTCACCGCAGCGCCGCAGAAACCTCCGTTTGCCCGGCTGATGCCTGGATGACCCCCGCCTGGATCATCGCCTCCCTCACTCCTTGAGTTTGACAGCTGATTGCGGCTCATCCAGCAGGAGATTCTCCTCTTGTTTTCTCCTCTTTCTCTCTGAAATGAGGCGAACGGCGGACATGAAGAGCACATGTCTGTGGGCCGTCGCTGCACTGCTGTCACTCAGCTCTCTGGTGAGTTAAATGTCATTTTGATTTGACCTTCTCCTGCTATTTGCATTCTTTGTTTTCAAATTTACAGCAATTTTATCTGTTGAAATACTCTTTCAGCTGCTGCTTTTAACAGTGACTAGAAGTGTTGCAGACTTTAAACGAAAGAAAATCTTCTCCAGCTCTTTTTTTTCCCTAGTTTCTCCCATTTTACAGATGTGATTTGGAAAAAAAGTATATCTGACAGGGCAAAGGAGAACAGCCTGAGCCCATTATGACAAATACACCAGAATGCTTGCAAGCTCAATGCCTTGACAGTTTGTGACAACCCAATTCCTTTAATCCCTGAAGAGACGGTAACCCTTCACCCGCTGATAAATCTGTCAACAAAGCAATCAAAGTGGAGCAGGAGCCACTCCCCTCTCCGACACCAGCAGAAAATATTCCATAAACTTAATCCCTACAAACTTGACTGGCCTTAAAAAGCTCCTGTGGTGTTATCTGTGTTTAATTTGCATAGTGATGGAAAGAAGTCAATTACTATTAATTATTCTCTACAACTTAATACCCATTATCGAATTGAATTCACCGTCTTGAAAACCATAAACTCAATTTCACAGCTGACTAAGCGCACTAATCATTTCGCCCCCCTCCTCCTCTTATTTCCTTCCTTTTCTTATTTTATGGCGCCCATCCTGCTGTAAAGGAAAAACAATTCCTCGATTTCACCAACAACAGCGGCAGTGGCGGCGTTCCCTATCATCTGTTTCTCCTTCTGTCATAACAAACCAAAAGCAAACATTAATTATAAGAGCTGGGATAATTTCTTATGATGATTTTCCAGCATCACTTCACAGGAGAGTGTGTTTTTTTTTTTTTTTCCTACAGACTGGGTTGCCAAATTGCTTCGCCATGCTTTAATGGGATGATCATAATTGTTTCGTACTTGCTGCATCCTAAGCTTTCGCCTGCAGCTCCTTCAACAGATTGACAGACCCATGGGAACCTCGCAAACTTATTTTGGCCGCCTTTGAACCAAGTCGTGTGTGAAATAATATGATTATGCGTTTTTCCTCTGGGTAAGTTGGAGAACTAGTGGCCAGGGTTTCTTCTTCTTCTTCTCCTTAAATATCCCGCAGTCTGTCCGCGCTCGGTATTTATCCTCCTCTGAAGTCACGGTGGGTAATCGTGCCCTGGCCTCTTAACGCGCCGCGGCAGCGAAACGACGCTCGGCCTCCTCCCCAGCTGCCTGTGATGTCTCGACACACTTCCTGATTTGTCATCATCTCTGACCCCCCCCCTCAGGTAACGCTTTGATATCACCTGAAACTCTCGGCGGGGGTCAAATGCCCCCATTTGATCTATCGACAGGAGGGCAAGACGTGGAGGTTAAATTTGGTGGAAAATGATCGTTTCCTCGAAGCGGCCAGCAGGAAAAAAAAGCATTTAAGAGTTTCTAACTTCCTTCTTATCGTATCAATAAAAGATTGAATGAATTTTAGCTTTTCAGCACATCGACACTGCAAAAACACAACATTTAACCAAGTAGATTCTAGTGGGAATATCTTGGTTCACTTGAAATCAGACAAAACTAACTTAAAAGCGACATTTTAGCACAAAA